GTGGGTGTGTGTGTGTGTGTGTCCCTCCCTGCTGCGCCCTCTCCTCCGCATGGCTCCCCCTCCCGCGCCACGTAGACAGCTTCACAGCTCCACCCAGCCCCGGGGCCGCCCCGGCCCCTGCGGGCCGCCCTCCGCCCGCACCCTCCTTGATGGATGAGAGCTGGTTTGTTACCCCTCCGGCCTGTTTTACTGCAGAAGGGCCTGGGCTCGGGCCCGCCCGCCTCCAGAGCAGCCCCCTGGAGGACCTCCTCATCGAGCACCCCAGCATGTCCGTTTACGTGACCGGCAGCACCATAGTGCTGGAGCCTGGACCTCCTTCCCCGCACCCTGACGCCGCCCTGCCAGACGGAGACCTTAGCGACGGGTGAGCCAGCCGGGGGCGGAGCCTGGAGGCCCAGTGCCGGGGCGGGGCCTTTAGAGGCGGGTCTTCGAAGCAAAGGGCGGGGCCCATGGGCCGGAATGAAGCTAGACCTGAAGGTAAAGGGGCGGGGCTTTGAGATAGGGAGAGGCGTGGCTTCGTGGCTAGGGCGGGGCTTGAGAGAGAGAGCTTCGCGGCTTGGGATCGCTGAGGATCGCTGAGACGGTAGGCATCTCCAGGTTGGGTTGGAGGAAGGGCTGGTACCCACAAGAAGGGCTGGTACCCACAAGAAGGGCTGGTACCCACAAGAAGGGCATTGAGCGACCCTAGGAGCAGAGATCAAATCGTGCGAGGGTGCGGGGACAGGGTGGGAAGTGCCAGCGCTCTCCTCCGTCCCCCACGAATTGTCTAGCCCTGACTGCCTCGCTCTGTCCCCTCAGGGAGTTGGCGCCTGCTCGCCGTGAACCCCGGGCCCTGCACCACGCCGCCCCTCTGCCGGCGCGGGCCACACTGCTGGAGAAGGCGGGCCAGGCGCAGCGGCTGCAGCGGGCCCGGCAGCGGGCCGAGCGCCATGCTCTGAGCGCCAAGGTGGTGCAACGGCAGAACCGCGCCCGCGAGAGCCGTCCGCGCCGGCCCAAGCACCAGGGCAGCTTTGTCTACCAGCCGTGCCAGCGCCAGTTCAACTACTGAGCTTCCGCCGGCCGTGCCGCAAACCCCTCGCTGACTCCCGACCCTTATCCAGCCCCTCCGCCGCAGCCAGTGTGCTCCTTGAGGGGCGCCTGCAGCCCACTTCGGGCTGGACACCACAACCTCCCTTCTTCTTAAGTGTGTGAGGTGGGGGTGATAGCCTCTCTCTCTCTCTCTCTCTCTCTCTCTCCTACTCCTTCTATTTCCCTTTCTCTGATCCTCTAATCCGCCTCTGAACCTCCCCCCCGTCCCTTCACCCTCCCACCTTCTGGCCCCTTCTGGCATCTAATCCTCCATCTCCCCCACTGCGGACACTCCGTCGGTTCCCATCCTGATCTTTGCCCTGACATTCTCCATCCCTGCCCTCCGGTCCTCTACTTCTGGCCCACTCCTATTTCTGAGAGTGTCTTCTTCCAGTTTCATATCTGGCTCATTCCCTACCTTCAGCTCCCACTTTACAAGCCTCAGTCTATCTAATGTTTGGCACTGCATTCACTCCTGCTCCCTTATTACTCATTCCCAGTAATTCTCCCACTGAGACTAAAGGGTTCTACCTTTAGTCTTCCCCTTCCCTCTCCTCTGGGGGCTGGGCTCCTTGGAGTTGCCTAGGTATGGAAAGGTAAGGTATGTGGGAAAGGACTGTGAGATGTGAGTTAGAGGGAGAAGGTGGAGGGAATCGAGGAAAAGAGGAAACCTATTGAAAATGTAGACAGGACAGACAGGTTGGGATGCTGTAGGGAGCAGGGCACAATGGGGGCTGGCACGGTGCTTACTCAGAAAGGCCAAGCCCTGCTCTCAAGCTGGAGCCTACTCCCACATCGATGCCTTTTCAACAATGCCACCTCCCAAATCTCTTCCTGAAATCAACCCCTCTGCCGGTCCCTGTATCTGAAAGGCTTAGTTAGTACCTTGCTGCCCTACCCACATCAACCCAGCAGTAAAGGCTGGGCAAGGCCCTGCCATCCTAGACATCTGTTCACATGCCCAAGGTGCTAGAACTAGCTTAGGAGAGATGCAGGCCAGAGGGATTCTAGGCAGGGGAAGGACACACCCCAGAATAAGAATGCAGAATGATGGTGCTGGGGAGGACAAGCTGTGGGGTGAAGCCAACCAAGGAATGGCAGCTAGCCTTCATCTTGCCTCTGGCCTTGTATTTCACACTCTGCCAGGATGGCTAATAAACACTCCTGAGTAGGAGGCCAGGAGCCCCACTGCCACAATCCCCAAATAGTCCCTGTCCAGGTTCAGGGCCTTTAGGGGAGCCTCTCTTCATTTTCTTTCCCAGGGCTCTCTTCCTTTCTAGGCTGCTGGGGGGAAATGGGTACCCTATGGTTCCCCTTCCTTTCTCCTCCACTAAGTACCTGGAAGAGGGAACCTGAATATCTGGGTGAGACAAAGGGGACAGGGGCAGCCAGCTTTCCCCTTCTCACAGTGGGATTGACTTTTGGGCTTAGACACCAGCAACAGCCTCTTGGGATGCCCCGAGTTGCTTCCCCTTTCCTCTTTCTGTCCTTTTCTAGTGTGTGCTCTTTCTTCCTTGAAACCTTTAAGATTTCCTATTACATACTAACACAGGTCTTTCCCTTCAATTCTAGGTTTCTAGGCCTCACAGCCAAGCTGAGGCTTATAGAAAACTCTGCAACCCCATGCAGGCAAAGGCAGCTGCCCTCCCTGACCCTATAACCCTAGGTCTCCAGTTGGGTGTATGGATAAGGGAGGAGGTAGCCCCATGGATGCTGGGATAGGGACAGAGAAAGCCCTGTTGGAGTCTCCTATCCAAGGGAATAAGCCAAATTTACATTAAGAGCAGATCAAAGTCCCCATGCTGGTCCACTAGGGCCCCAGTAGTTGACAACCTTGCTCCTCTCTCCAAGGTTCTCCTTCAGTTACGACCTAGTCCCTTTTATTCTTCCAACTACTCCTTGGTTACTTCACAGCCAGCTTAGGGTCTTCAGCACTTCCAAGAGCTGAAACTCCCTCCAACTCTTCTTGCCTACTCCTTTGCTGCCAGCTGGAGCCTAGGCTCAGTTCTGGGCAGTGCTCACGATCCTTCTGTGGGGGAAAAGTGAGTTATAGGGCATTTGGCTCAAATTTCAAAAGGCCCCTACCTTACCTGTATTTCTGGAGGCTCCTGTAGTTCTAGAACCCTCCAACATCACCTGGCTGGTTGCAAGGCTCATGTTTTTGTACTTTCCTATAGATTCTGTAGCATTTGAGTGTGACAATATTTTAATTGTGTATAGATTTCTAAGAGCCAACACTAGTTTGGTCTCCTGCTAGTCTGACTCCTGAAGCATCAGAGCTCGTCATACTGTATTGACTGTGTATGTGCCTTTCACCTTGAGCATGCTTCAGGATTTTTTTTAAAACCACAGAACTTGAATACATGAGGGAACCAGAATTCACAAAGTCCTATGCAACCTTAGACAGGAGGAGGTTAGAGAGTCTGTCTTTACTGATGTTTCAGAGACCCTGTAGAAGTTTGTTCCAGACTGCATTACTTAATGTCAAGACTACCAGCGCTTTGCCAAAACTGAGTATGTGAGAGGGACTCCTATTTCTAGAGTGAGTCCCAATTATATCAAAGGACAACTTCCAGTGATTCTCCAATACATCTCTCTTCAAACTGGGTGTCACTTCCAGCCTTTGCCAGTCTGGCCCCATCAGGGTCCCATCTGTGTATGAATGCAGTTTGCTGCTGTTTTGGAGTATGCTTGCTCCCTGGCCCCAACCTGGAACCTTGAGTTTGCTCTGACCCATAATGTTAGGTGCGCTGAGGACCCCACCAGAGCTCTTGGATGACTCCTCAGATCCATGTGGCTTTATGTGAGGGGACTGAAGGCAGACATAACGTGGCCCCTTATATCTTCCCTCTTGCCCTGCTGCCTAGTTCCAAATGGAACCAATAAGATGAGTGCGTCCCTCTTGGGTGTTTTGTGTTGAGACTGGCTGAAAAGAGGAGACTCTGGTTGACCATGTTATGACATGTTGACAGACTCAAGGACACAACCACCTCAGCCTGGTCACGTGGCATGCCTGTGTATGTGTGTAACAGGATTCTGATTGTTAGACTGTAATGTTATTCCTCTATGGGAGAAAAAGTTAATATAAAGAAAAACAAATAAAAATCTATTTAAAGCACATTATGCTTTCTTCCTGAGTATAGCTAAAGTAGGAGAAGCACTTTGCAATCTCAAACACAGAACTGGCTTAGGGTGTTGTTAGGCTGGCTTTGGTTCTGGTTGTGCGTGTGTCATACAGGGAAGGAAGAGGGTAGATAAGCTTGCTGGTAACAGAGCCAGACACTGTGGGGTGACTCAGAAATAACTACTTTTAGAGAATCCTTATTTAAAAAAAGGAAAATAAGAGCATGAGAATCACCAATTCATCCTTTTGGTCTCAGGCACTGGGTTATGGAGCCCCTGAAGGGGAAGGGATGGAGTGTATGTCTAGCTGTAGGAGACACAGCAGAAGGCTGGGGCCCAGACCAAGATAAAGACAGGACCCCAAGCACTGAAGTCCCCTGAATGTTGGGGGTAGGGTAGGGGCAGAAGCAGCTGGTTTGGAGACCACAATTTTTAAGGTAAGAACAGAGCCAGGAAAGGGAAAAACCTAGGCACATTGATGAGTCACCCCAGGCCTGATGCAGATGAGAAACAGGGCAGCCAAAGAGTGGAACATAGTGGATATCTCTGAAGTACATAATGCAAAATGACAACTTTTATTTGGGAGCTGCTCCATTTAACCACGGACATGGACTGAAGTTAGAAACCTGACCTAAACTGGGCTAGATTCTTGATGCTGTTACAAAAAATCTTGCTGGTCAGTCTGGGCTTATCTCTTGAATGGTGGAGGTGTAAACATAGTCGTTTTGGAGCAATCCATCATGTGCATGGAGAAGCAGATGAATGAGGTAGAGAAGAGTGCCATCTGGTTTGCTGATGGCTTCCTGTCTCCAGAAAATCTTGGGTGAACTTTGATCCTCTCTAAGTTGATTCTGTCATTTTACAACCAAAAGAAATCTGATCAATATCAAAGTGCCTGGTATAGTGCTGATAAGAGCTAGTTTCTTCAAAGCCAAGAGAATGAGTTGAGTGAATAAGTATGTACATTTTCCACAACTTGCCAGGTGGGCATCTCAAGTGTAATGAGGACATGATGGGATTCTAATTCACAAAGAAGGCTGTTCCTATTCATTTATGGTCCAAAGAGCTTGCTTACCCAATAATCCCTTACCAATAACATACGTTTATGTTCTAGGACAAAGACATTTATTTAACACATTCAGTATTTCACATTGTACAAACCCTTAGATTCTCTTTATTCACTGGTCCATTTCTAAAACAAATACATCCAAAACACTATATAATAAAATTATTTACAACATTTCCAAATGAGAAGATTCCTTTTGCCCCACTACTGCTATTCACACACAGTACTTCCACAGCACAATACATCATTAGAAGACCTAAAAATGCTCACCCTGTACTCTAGGCTGCTTAGGAAATGTGAAAACTATTAACATAATCACATTAGCTCCTCTCAATACATGGCAACATTTTAGAAACCTTGAACTTCATCTTGCAACACCAAAAGGGTTCAACAACTCTGCTTTCCCCATTGCACTTTATGACACAGGTTGCAGGGACCAGGAAAAGGACCACATTATTAAAATAACTAACTGTACAGAAATGGATTTTAAAAAGTCACAGCTCAAAATTGCTTTTTGTAAAATTCACACATATTTACAAATATCAAGTCGTCATTCAGCTTGTTTACTTGGATTTTCTTCGCTTGGATTGCACCGCGCTGGTTATGTCTGTGGGGAGAAAGGAAGGACATATTCAGCTGAGGCATTTCTTTATAGCAGTGCCTTTTAGGCAGTCCACAGGAACCAGAGCTGACCTAAGTGGAGCCCTACTGGACTCTGAATCAGTCTAAGGTCCTCAAAAGGGGCACTCGGTGTGAAGAGGGTCTCAGACTTCTCGGCCCTGTAAACTAGGGCCTGGCGATTGGGGAAATGTTATACAGGTAGTGGAAGGTGAAGCAAACATACATGAAAAAGGTGCCAGGATGGGGAGAGCTGCTTTAGCTGGGCAATTAACCCCACAATCTCCATCACCTGTTTCCATCACCCAATGAAATGATGGACAGGCTGACAGTGCTTTTGGTGAGATACCAATAAGTGATGTTACAAGCAAGTAAGTGAATTGTGCCACAAAAAAAAAAAAACCAGCCTCTGGAGCCAAGCCATTGTTTTGCAGTGAGGAACTCTTTTTGCCATGCCATAGTCAAAGTCTCTAAATAACATGACTATGACTGTTGGTCAGCAAGTGTCTACCATGGCCTAGCCAGGTATTATCAAGGCTGTGCATATACCTGTGTATGTATGGAAGGCATGGAAGCAATTCAGAGCAAGCCACAGCCTGCTCTGAGCCCAGGTGAGCCTGAAGGCTTCATGGAAGAGGTGGGAACTGAGTGGTTTATATCAGTGACAGGGTAACAGTGACATAAAAGGGAAGGAGTGTGTTTTAATTCTTTTAATTCCTCCTGTATTATTCATGTCTTAAACTCAAACTCAAAAGATAAACTCAAAAACTTTTTCAACACAGAAGTCTTCTACAGCAAAGTACAATGAATAGCCTGAAGCTCTCCAACTGTAAACATTTCTTTAAAATCTCATATTGATCTTAAAAATTCACCCTCATTCTTCATGCTGCTCCACAGTAGATATTTTGAATTTAAAACGAAAAAAAATGTTTTAGAATTACTTCCCATCAAGGGCAAAAAACTGTTTTCTATTTAATACATTAATGTGTAAGATGAATCCAACTTATCCATTTCTAGAAACTAGGCTGAACTCTCTGATGCTGCATGTTAGGTTCAGTATTCTAAGTAATTTTTCTTCTCTTTTTTGTATTGTATCATATTTTGAGAACCCAGACTCAAAATGTAGAGCAAAAAGCAAAAATTTTATCACTCTGTTAGCTAAGTAACTGCTAAGAAGTGAAACCTAGATGACTTTCCCAGAGGTGGCCTGTACAATGTTATCAGGCTTCTATAGAAGGAAATTTCAATATATACCTCTTACTGGGAGATTATGATGCTTCTGCAGGTGGTAGAATCAGTTTCTCTGATTTATTCATCAGTCTTTTGCTAATCAGAGGACAGTAAATCTGACAGGATGTTGACAATGGTGTTATTTTAATTCCATGTAAATAAATGGAGTCTCACATAGCACACAACTCCCCATAATCAACCCTTTATGTCCAACTCTCAAGCTTCATTTTCACTGTAGCAAATTTGTCATTTGCAGTGAAAACATACAGGGTTTTGTCTTGACTAAGTGTTCATCCTTAGAAAAATGTCTGTTAATTAGGTCAACTTTGGGAGCTTCTCCTTTGTTGTGGTATGAACGATCAAGTGGTGTGTCTGAGAAACACATGTGTGGCTGGGAAAAGTGGTTAGGAGTCGGGGAATAAACGACCTCAGGCTCCCCCCTCCATTCCTTCCTTGCTTGTTCCCATTTGTCACTGCTCTAAAGCACCCAATCATCTGGCAGGCTGCCTCTGCTTCTGAGGATGAATCAATGAGTGAGGCCATGAGTAAACAAGTGATCTGTGCTAGAAACAGGGAAAAAAAAAAAAAAGCCTTTTAGATACTAGGGTGAGCAGTGGCAGTGGTGGTGTAGTGGTGGTGTAGGGTGGAGCTTTACCTTCTAAGGAGTTTTATAAATTGACCTTGACCTTCCTCACTTCATTATGCTTTTTACTGTTCTCCTTCTAGCCAAGATTTCTACTTAATTGTAAAAAAAATTCTGGAAATTTCCTTTCAAAATCTGTATGGCTGGTTTCTAAATGATGCTACAAGAGTGCAGTTTCAGGTAGTCACTGTTTAGGGATTTCTCCCATAAGATGTATCTAATTATGCTTATTCTACAATAATAACACGTTTTAAGTATATCTGTATACTCTGTGTTTTTTTTAGGCTGTTGCTTCTCAAGTCACTAGCTGTGGATAGGATAGAGCTATCACCCCACTTTGCTGTCAGAGGCATCTTAGGGCACCCCAGGGACACCCACAGCTGCTGCTGATTACAGGTTGCTCTGAACTTCCCTCTTATTAGCATATTTTCCCAGGTTTCAAACTTGTACATTGAACTTCATGTTTTTAACTACTGATCCTTTCTCCCAGTTGAAAATATAACATAAAACTACTATAAACAGAAGACTAAAGAATATCAAGGGAAACTAGAAAAATCATTTCTGTGTTAACGGGGAATTCATCATATCAGGAAGCAGAACTACTCATTTGCCTATTTATAAACAACACATCTGATCAAGTGCAATTTTAAAAAGAAGTTCACTGATTTGTGGGAGCCAATTTTTGTGTCTGTAATTAAAAGTGGCAGGGCAGTGGGGGTCAGTGGGGGGAACCAAGCCAACCAAAAACAAAACAACAGATTAGAGAGTGACCTATCAACCAAGTGGGCCTCCCTGGACTTGCCCAGAAATCATTCATCCCACCTGCTCCAATCTGGTAGTCTAGTAGGCCTTGGCTAGCATGATATAAGCAAACTCCGTTCTCAGAGCAGGAGAATGATTAATGTTACTGGTTCTCAACAATACGAAAAGTACCAATATTTCTCATTTCAAACTGCTCATAATATTTCTCAGCTGTCTCATGAAAAACGCAGACTGTTTCTGATTTTGTTTGTGCATACATGACCAAAATCTTATGAGTACGAAAAGGCAAAACCCTCTTTTCCCTTCAAAACTTTAAGTACTGATGCTGCAGGAAGATGTTTCAGGCACCCAACACTATATATGTCTACAAGTTCGAGACACATACATTTCATTTATTTATCTATTTATTTATTGGCTGCATTGGGTCTTCGTTGCTGCAAGCATGTTTTCTCTAGTTGTGGTGAGCAGGGGCTACTCTTTGTTGCGGTGCATGGGCTTCTCATTGCGGTGGCTTCTCTTGCTGTGGAGCACGGGCTCTAGGCACATGGGTTTCAGTAGTTGCGGCGCGTGGCCTCACTAGTTGAGGCACGCGGGCTCAGTAGTTGCGGTGCATGGGCTCTAGGGCACGTGGGCTTCAGTAGTTGTGGCTCGCAGGCTCTAGAGCGCAGGCTCAGTAGTTGTGGTGCACGGGCTTAGTTGCTCTGCAGTATGTGGGATCTTCCCCGACCAGGGATCAAACCCATGTGCCCTGCATTGGCAGGCAGATTCTTAACCACTGCGCCACCAGGGAAGTCCTGAGACACATAAATTTTAGAAGCCAGCTTGGTATTTTATGACACTCCCTGGGTATGGGTTCAAATACAATCACAGGAAATTATTTTATGACTTTGGTTCATTTTTGGATACAACATAGAAGGCCAAATAATATGCATATTAATTCTTTAATTTGGATCCAAGAGCTCTAACACTTAAAAATCAAAAGCTACAGCATTCATTTCTGATTTAAAAAGTAACTTAACCTAGAACAGTTAAAGACTAATAGACTGAGGGCTTGAGGCTGATGTGGAGATCTAGATATGACTGTGATTCCTGGGGTCTGGCCAGAACCCTGACATCCTCTAGGAGACACTTACCCAGAATCCCTACATGTAATATCACAAAGCCTGAGAGTCATTATGGCCTCTTCTAAGCCAGCTGCTAAGTCTCAAAGCATGGATGGGGCAAGCATTCCAACATGACTACCATCACCTTGGGACAATGTCCAGTTTAAGTGTACGGCCTATACACCCCACCCCTCTTCTAAAACAGGTTCCAGCTTTCCATCTTTTCTTGGCTGGCAGTTATCTACAGAGTGGCTCTAATTTTGGGCATCTCTTAACTGTCCCAGCTGCTAAATTAATTCTTTCTGGTGCACTGCAAATGACACCTTTAGTATCCTGAGGCTCTGGGCTCAAGTCAGATTCCCCAAAAGCTGGTGTATGACATCTGTAAAGGCACTTTTCCCCTGCTTTAAAGATAACTACATACCATATTCTAAAACCTAGAAGACCCTGATCCTTTAGGAAAAAGAATACATAGAATTGAGGGGAAGCAGATTTTCTCATAGAACTCCAAGAATCTTCCATTTTATGCTTCCTTCCAAACAGGTTTTTGCTTAGGAGATGATTCCCAGGGAGGGAGAAGAAAGTTGTTGGTTCCACTTCTACATCCAAAGTGGGGATACCTAAAGAGGACCCTGGCTGTGGTGTACATGGTATGTCTGGAGAGGAAAGAAGGCCCCTCCCATCCTCTCCCCTCTCTGGCAGGCTGAGGTAAGGTGACTTCTACATCTCTTCTTTACCTGTGCATGATCTGCAGACCTGTGGCCTCCTCCCAGGAGCTCTTGTGAGGCATTATGAAATTCCTACCCAGAAACGTGACCTATCAACAACAGCTGACTTCTCAGGTCAGTGTCTGGTGTTGGTGCACCACCATCTGCCCTGGTCTTCAGGCTGGTATCCTAATGGTACGTGACTGTTTCGTAGCAGCCCTGCTGATATCAGGCACTTGGCCAGGATGCCAGCTCTCGCCTAACCTAAGCTACTCAAGTTCAGCGCATTTCCTGAGAGAATGATACCCTCCCTCAGATCTGGGCCTTTGCACATGCTATACCTTTTGCCTGGATAATGCTTCCTCATTCTTCAGGTCTCAGCTTAAACATCATTTTCTCCAGAAAGCCTTCACTGACTTGACAGGGGAACAAAGCATCCCGGCTATTGGGTTGGCCAAAAAGTTCCTTCAGTTTTTAAGTAAAAATAAAAGACACATTTTCCATTTTCACCAAGAACTTTATTGAACAACGTATTCACCGTTTTGTTCCACTAACTTCTGCCATTTTTCAGGCAACTTCATAATTCCATCTTCTCAAAACTTTTTATCTTTTTGAGCAAAGAACTGTTGTTCCAGGTGCCTTTTACAGTATCCCAGGGAACTGAAATTTTTTTCCATTAAAGAGAATTTTTTTTTTGTGGTACACCGGCCTCTCACTGTTACGGCCTCTCCCGCTGCAGAGCACAGGCTCCAGACGTGCAGACTCAGCAGCCATGGCTTATGGGCCCAGCCGCTCCGCAGCATGTGGGATCTTCCTGGACAGGGGCACGAACCTGTGTCCCCTGCATCAGCGGGTGGACTCTCAACCGCTGCGCCACCAGGGAAGCCCGACTATGCGTTTTCTGTTGACTAATTCCGGATGCTTTTCATCAAGTGCTGCTTTCAGTTGGTCTAACTGGGAGCAGTACTTGTTGGAATTAATCGTTTGGTTTTCCGGAAGGAGCTCTTAATAGAGGACTCCCTTCCAACCCCACCATGTACACATCACCTTCTTTGGATGAAAACCGGCCTCTGGTGTGGTCGGTGGTGGTTCATTTCGCTTGCCCCACAATCTCTTCCGTTCCACATTATTGAACAGTATCCACTTTTCATTGTCCATCACAATTTGTTTTGAAAAACAAATCAGTAGATCAGTAGAGAATCGCATGCGGAAATATGGTCAAGAAGGTTTTTTTTGGTCAACTTAATGTGGAACACAAAAATCAAAATGATGAACATTAACCAAGCTGCTGCAAATGATTTTCAATGCGTGATTTGGATATTTTGAGTATGTTGGCTATCTCCTGCATGGTATAACATTGATTGTTCTCAATAACGTCTCGATTTGATCGCTATCAACTTCAATTTGTCTACCTGATCGTGGAGCATCGTCCATCGAGAAATCTCCAGCATGAAACTTCGCAAACCACTTTTGACACGTTTGATCAGTCACAGCACCTTCTCCATACACAGCATGAATCTTTTTTTTGCGTTTCAGTTGCGTTTTTACCTTTCTTGAAATAATAAAGCATAATATGCCTAAAATGTTGCTTTTTTTCTTCCATCTTCAATATTAAAATGGCTACACAAAAATTCACCAATTTTGTTAAGTTTTTTTTTTGTTTTTTTTTTTTTTGCGGTACGTGGGCCTCTCACTGTTGTGGCCTCTCCCATTGCAGAGCACAGGCTACGGATGCGCAGGCTCAGCGGCCGTGGCTCATGGGCCCAGCCACTCTGCAGCATGTGGGATCTTCCCGGACCAGGGCATGAACCCGTGTCCCCTGCATCGGCAGGCGGACTCTCAACCACTGTGCCACCAGGGAAGCCCTTGGTAAGTTTTTTTTTAAATGCACGCTGATATGACATCTGTCACAATAAAATCTAACAAAATTGTTTCGAATGAAGTCAAAGACAACTAAATGCTACTACAGCCATTTTATGGACATAACTGAACAAACTTTTTGGCCAACCCAATATATGCTCCTACAGTACCATATAACTTTGCTATCATAAATGCGTATAATATTAAAGTCTTTCTGGCTAGCATATAATCGATGTGACGATGACAGAGACTCCATATGTTTTTTCACTATTATATACCTAGAGCCTGGCATGTAGTAAGTACATAAATATATAGTTGATAGATAGTTGTTAATTTAATAATTACTGATTGTACACCTCTTGTATTAGGCACCACAGTAGGCACCAGGAATACAGTGGTGAGCAAAACCAGACATCGCCTGCCCTAACACAGTATGTATATTAATTACCTACCACATAAATAGACCTAAATTTACAACTGTGGTGTTATGAAGGAGAAGAACATGGTGCTATGATTCCTCATAGCAGTGACAACTGAGCTAAGATAAGTAGGAAGAGTGGGAAGTTAATGAGGAGAAGAGAGGGAAGATAGACGAATACTCCCTACAATAGGTGTCACATATACCCAGGCTTGTGATGAGAGGATGGCATGTGATGAGAGGATGTTGCTAAGGGAAGTCAAATGAGGCTGGGAGAGGTTGATAGGGGCCAAACTAGATAGGACCCTGTGGTCTATGTTGACGCTTTTAGACTTTAATTCTAATTATAATGGTAAACCATTGAAGGGTTTTAAGCCAAGATAGCAGTGAAGATGGGGAAAAGTGGATGAATTTGAATTTGAATCATCTGAGATAAAACCAGCAGCTTTTTGTGATGAATGTGAAGGTGAAGGACAGAGGTGTCAAGGAGGACATGCCTAATGGACAGATAGATGGTAGTACAGGAACAACGGCAAAGGACCTGACATCAGGGGTGAAAAATCAAAGGTCTGTTTTTAGACATGTTGAGTTTGCAGTCCTGTTAAGGATGTTCGTGGAGTTGTCTAAGATCTCTAGAGGTCTGCACTAGAAAACAAATTTATGAGTCATCTGTGAAAGGTTATAACTAAAGAAGGGAGGCATGAATGAGATTAGTTAGGGAGAAAATAGAAGTTGAAGAGAAAAGGTGACTCAGGATTAAAGTTTGAGTAGACCAATATCTAATGTATGTGTACAGAGTCTGAGAAGGAACAGCCAGAGAAGTAGACAGAAAACTATTGAGAGTTCTGGGTCAGAGAAGCCAAGGGCAGAATTCATTCAAAAAAGAGACAGCAGTCAATAGAGAAGAGAAAACTGGTTGTGTAAGATTCTCTGTAAGGTCAGAGAAGATGGGATCAAAGGCACAAGTGAAGGAATTGGCCTTGGACTTAAGGAGCGACAGTTGCTCTATTATAGTATGAGCAAAAGAGGACACTGGTAGATTTATGTGCTGGTAGTGAGAGTTGAGGGAGTTCTGTTTTCTCTTTGAAGAGGTGAGAGTCTCTGCTGAAAGAGAGGACATAAAATAGGAGCCAGAGGTTTAAAAAGAGTAGAGAGTAGGAAAAAGAGTTGACCACAAAAACACAGAAAGATGGTGGGGCCATACTGAGGACCTGTCTCAAGTGGCAATCATGAATCAATCTGCTCTGTTATGTTCTTGCTGCTCTTGTGCACAAGTACACACACACACACACACACACACACACACACACACACACACACGCACAGGGAGAAAACACATAGTTAAATGAACTAACAAATAAAGGAAGGACCAAACAAGCAGTAGACGTCAAAGTAACTTGAAAATTTGAGAAATAGAAGCAAAGACGAAGGGCAAAGTCCTCTGTTGCTGTGATAAGAACCCTATTCTTCTATTTGACTCAGAAATAGCCTCTGCAGCCCACAGCTAACCTTTAATAGAGCTGGAGGCTGAAGCAGGCCGAGAGGATCGCTTACGATGTCCATTTTCCACACTTTCAGAAGCCACAGCTGGCTCTTCAGTTCGGGAGTTTCTTCGGCTTGGAGTTTTGGACTTCTCAGTTATCTCTTTGGGCTCACTGCTGACAGAGAGAAGCACAAAGTCCAAGGAGGTGAGGGAATCAAGTCACACAAAAAATAAAGATAATAGTTTCATTCACAAGGCAGGAGATTAAGAACTACATAATCATTCTGGAGAGACAATGTTTCACTCTGGGACAATAAGCACAATTATGCTCTAATATAACTGACAATTTAAAAGTGAGTCCAGCTTGTTACATTAGTAAAAATAAAATATTTAAGTATAATGCTGGTGAGATTGTGGTAAAACACATTAAGAACTTGGAACAAAAATCATCAAACTTCCTCACCCATTTTCCTAAGATAAGAATATTTCCCTTCAAAAATTAATAGTACCTAAAAATCTAGGAAATTAACAACATACACTGGCACTTACTATGAGCCTAGTAGAGTTAGATAATGGCATATTACAAGTCACATTATAGAATATACACGAGAATATACTCACAATACACTGCTGGGTACACTACTGATTGCTCCTACCTCAATCCCCTTTTTTTAGTATGTGAAGATTAAAAAATGGTAATACCCAGTATTATTGAGGATACAGGGACAAAAACTCCTAATGGAGTATAAATTGTGCAACCCAATGATTCTCAGTAGGGGGTAATTTTGCCTCCTAGGAACATTCAGCAATGTCTGGAGACATTTTTGATTGTCATGACTGGGAGGATATGCTACTGGCACCTTTTGGGTAGAGGCCAGGGATGACACTAAACATCCTATAATGCATAAAACGGCTCCCTGCCCCACACCCCACACAGAATTATCTCATCCAAACAGTCAATAATGCTGAGGCTGAGACACCCTGGTGTAATCCTCTGGCTCAGCAATTCCATTTTTAGTTACCTAAGGAAACAAATCTTTTTACAGAGCTAATTACACACAAGGATGCCAAAGCATCTTATTTATATTAATGAAGATAGAAGAGCTAAATGCTTAACAGTGATAGTACATGGCACATCCAAATGGAGTCATGAAAAAAATCATGCTGTAGAAGGTTATTTAATGATAAAAACTGTTCATAATATATTATTGTGGGGAAAAAAACAGCTACCAACATTATGAATAGTATACTCTCATTTTCATTATAATATATATTGAGTATATATGTAACCACATATGAATGAATGGGTGTGAGATATATATATGTGTATATAATACTATATATCTAATACACACTGTTAGATCTATAGATAAACACTATAGTATATATATATATATATATATATATATATATATAAAAAACACTGGAGTGTTTTAACTCTATTTCTATCTGTATATATTCTGTGAAGAGGACTAGAAGAACAACTAAAATATACACAGTGAATACTGCTGAGGTGTAGGAATATTGGCTAACTGGTAATTTTCTTCTTTGTAATTCTCTGATCTGAATTTCAAGTTACCCTCAGTAAACTTTTACTACTTTCATGGTTCAAAAAACTCACGTTAAAATCATTAAAAAAAAAAAAGTTGATTAAATTTACTTGTAAGACGTGGAATGGAAACAAAAGTAATGCAACAAAAACAAAACAAAAAACTGGTCACAGGGATGCCTCTTCTGGGAAGTCTTCCATGACCCCACTCCCCAAGTGGAGCTGTCTCTTTTGTCTTTTGGGTTCACAGTCTGTGTCTGGCATTCTAGAGCACCCATCAGGCTGTACAGCATGTTTTTAGTGTCTTGTGTCTTCCGATACATTGTAAGCTTCTTAACCATGGCCTGACTGTCAACTATCCCTACCCCTCCATCGTTTACTCCTGACAGAGGACCCTTTGTTAGTGGCACTATGCCTGGGAATCTGGCCATACTGTTCATTACCCTAGCTTTACATCTAACAACTGTCCCACACAAGCCAAGGCATGTCAAGGAGAGGTGAGACTGGAGCTGGGGTAGAATTGCAAGTCAGGGGGATTTACACATCTTTTTAGAGGTGGTAAGGATGGCTTTCTGGCTAGGAGCCCAGAAAATGGTCAAAGCCTCTGAGGAAGAAGATTCCTAATGGAGGTTCCTCTTTCTCCTGGCAAAACAAAAGCCTCAGCAATACTGTCCTGGTGTTTATATGGTCAATGATCAGGTAACTTGGGGAACAAACACCAACAAGGTATTTTTGGTCTGATTATCTCTTCTTTCTCTAGCCACACAGTTGGTGTATACTTTGAGATACGCAAATGAATTCAAACGTAAGCTCAATCCAAATAAAACTAGACAGGTAGTAGGAATAGCAATGAATTTGGAGTCAGAAGAACAAGGATCAAGTCTTACCTATGCATTTATTGGCCACGATATTTAACTTTCTCTCTGTTTCAGATTCTTGATCTATAAATCCCCATCTTGCCTGCTGTAATACATTAAGTGTGAGAGCTCTGGAGGCAGAAGGCCTGGGTGTGAATCTCAGCTTCACCATTTACTGAATCTGTGGCTTTGGGCAATTTAGTTAACCTCTCTGAGCTTTAGGTTCCTCATCTGTAAGACAGAATTTCCTTTCCTAATAGATACCGTGAAAATTAAATGAGATAATACATCTAGGGAGCTTTTAGCCCTACATATGGCATAGAACAGCATTCAAATAAATGCTGGCTATTATAACCACCTCACAGGGTTGATATGATAATTAAATGAGAAAATGACTATGAAGCAATTTTACAACCTAAGTTGATGTACAAGTATGATAAATTCTTTAAAATGTTATCTAGTACAGTCCTACATTAAAAAAGGAATGACTTTTGTAATACGATAATACTTCTCTCCATGGGGCTAATGAGGTTGAAGCCACAGTTGTACTTCATTTTGTTAGGTTATGTGGGGTAGCACAGTATAAAAGAAAAAGCATGGGTTCTGTGCTCAGACCCCATCTGCCATTCTTTCTCTTGAGGATCAAACAGCTATACTTAGAAGGTGTTGCAAGGACTAATATTAATGACAATGATGGCAACAGCTCCTATATATATATATAAAATTTTTAACATCTTTATTGGAGTATAATTGCTTTACAATGGTGTGTTAGTTTCTGCTTTATAACAAAGTGAATCAGTTATGCATAGACATGTTCCCATATCTCTTCCCTCTTGCAGCTCCCTCCCTCCCACCCTCCCTATCCCACCCCTCTAGGTGGTCACAAAGCACCGAGCTGATCTCCCTGGGCTATGCAGCTGCTTCCCACTAGCTATCTACCTTAGGTTTGGTAGTGTATATATGTCCATGCCACTCTCTCACTTTGTCACAGCTTACCCTTCCCCCTCCCCATGTCCTCAAGTCCATTCTCGAGTAGGTCTGTGTCTTTATTCCCATCTTACCCCTAGGTTCTTCATGACCTTTTTTTTTTCTTTCTTAGATTCCATATATATGTGTTAGCATATGGTTATTTGTTTTTCTCTTTCTGACTTACTTCACTCTGTATGACAGACTCTAGGTCCATCCACCTCACTACAAATAACTCCATTTCTTTTTATGGCTGAGTAATATTCCATTGTATATATGTGCCACATCTTCTTTATCCATTCATCCAATGATGGACACTTAGGTTGCTTCCATCTCCTGGCTATTATAAATAGAGCTGCAATGAACATTTTGGTACATGACTCTTTTTGAATTATGGTTTTCTCAGGGTATATGCCCAGTAGTGGGACTGACAAAGGATTAATCTCCAAAATTTACAAGCAGCTCATGCAGCTCAATAACAAAAAAACAAACAACCCAATCCAAAAATGGGCAGACCTAAATAGACATTTCTCCAAAGAAGAGATACAGATTGCCAACAAACACATGAAAGAATGCTCATCATCATTAATCATTAGAGAAATGCAAATCAAAACTACAATGAGATATCATCTCACAACGGTCAGAATGGCCAACATCAAAAAATCTAGAGACAATAAATGCTGGAGAAGGTGTGGAGAAAAGGGAACATTCTTGCACTGCTGGTGGGAATGTAACTTGATACAGCCACTATGGAGAACAGTATGGAGGCTCCTTAAAAAACTACAAATAGAACTACCATACGACCCAACAGCTCCTATATATTGAATGCTTACTATTTACTCACTATGCTGAGGGCTGAAAATGTTATGTCATCCAATTTTGAAAACAACCACAAAAGGCAGGAACTTAGCCATCAAGTTTTGTTAAAAGAAATGTTACCTCTGAGGGGTTGGTACTCATGACAGCTCCCTACTTCAGCAGGGAAAAAAACTGGTACAAAGAGTGAAGGAAAAGGACAAGGTGAGGAAACGTTTAAAGGTTGAGAAAGATGATACCTTTCAAAGAGGCTTAATGCCATATTCATGCTAAGTCTGCAGAAGTGATCATCTTACCTTTGTCCAGAGACTATGGCAGCATTTGCCTCGAGTTCTGTTAAAAATACAAAGGACAGAAATGAGATGTAGGAGCTTCTGGTGTATATGTCCACAGGGAGAAGCTAGGTGTCTATGAGAATTCTGAATGCCTTGTTTAGGCTAACGGGTCTCCATGCACAGCAGGATCCTCACCCTAACGTGGTAAACAGACAGAGTTGGCATGGACACAACTCAGTTGTCTGGAGCATAAGATACTTACTCAGTCTATTTTTATTTCTACTCCATACTATGAAGTAATCCTGTTTGGATCAACGTAACTAAATTACATTGCCTGGTTCATATTTCATCCAGCTATAACTATTTTAGTAAAATAATCCTCTTCCTCTCATGCAGAAGAGACTGTTTTCATTCTTAGAATATCTCTTCCCTCTTGACATATTTTTTTTAAACAGTAATCTTCCAATATGTCTTAAATATCTATTAAGGATGCATTCTCCTCCAAAGGAATTCCTGAGTTTTAGAGAGCAGACTGCTTTACTCTGAGATATACACACCATTATGTTCCTCTCTTCCTCAACCTCTCAGCAATGCCCTCTAAAAAAGGAAAATCTCTGTCATTTGTCTAGCAGGGTTTTGCTTAAATGAGCATCCTATGCGTTTACCAGGCACTTCTTTATTAGCACCAGCAGGAAAACATCTTCTTCCTCCATTATATGCCTTTAGGTAGTTCCATCTTTTCCAAAAGACCATCCCTGATGCATCAGATAGCAGTCATCTCCCCTGCCTCTGGTCTCCCACAGTCCTTTCCCTGTCCCCCGTTTCAGGGAATTCAACACCTGAAACACAGTGTACATGTCTAACCTACCCTACTTATTACACAGTAACCTCCTTGAAGGCAGTGGAGTCAGAGTGACTGGGTTATTTTGACCTCACTGCTTATTAGCCATGTGACCTTGGGCAAACAGCTTGACCTCTCTGTGCTCAATGTCTCATCTGAAAAATGGCGATAACACTTTACCCACCTCAAAGTTAAAAAGATTAAATTAAATAACACATATAAAAAACTCAGTACAGCAGCACTTAGTAATAACTCAGTATTAGCTATTATTAGTATTGCTATGATGCTCATGTTGATGCAGCCTTCACGTAAAGAGGCTGTCCTACTCTGCCTTCAATGAAAGATGCTGGCAGAGGAGAATCCATGCTTCTCATTTGTTATTTAGCTCCCCATATCTAACTCATAAAACCTGGAACCCCCTCCACAAGAAACAGATACCAACTCACTGAGTCTCTGCTGCCTTGTTGGCTCTGCTGGAGCAAAGAAACTCAGGAAATGTGTACTCAGAAATAAAAACGGCTCAAGTCAAAAGAGGTTTACTACAAAAAATTTTGGTTAGTTTGCTCTTTTGAAACAAAATTCAATGCTTTAGACCATTTTAACACTATCACAGCTAATTCATATAAGTGGAGATCAAAGGGGTTTTGGTGAAGGCAATTGTTGGCGTAGGCAGTATTTTAAGGAGATTCATTTGAGCCAAACTTTTAAAAGGAACAAGATTCTACAGCAAATTACTCTGAGAAGGAGGACATATGATATGGTAGAGTCCATCTTCTGGAGAAAAGAGTTGGGGCAGGAGATGGAATTCCCTTCCCCTTTCTAGTTGCTCCTTTTCTCATCAAAAATGAGTTTTACTATCTAATTCCTTCTCTGAAGAATTTGTTCCATTTCTACCCTTCTCAGGTATCATGTGGGTAGTTGGTAGCAAACGAATCTGGGTGGTCTAAAATGTTTTTTGCTCATCCATTTTTTCAGAGGCCTGGTTTTACCCAAAGAATGTACAATAGAAAGTCCTATCCATCATATAGGACATGGCACCCTGAAGCAGGTTTTAAAATAATCACAACTTTTACCTTACTTTTTAAAATTTATTTATTTTTAATTTTTTTTGGCCGCCCCGTGCAGCTTGTGGGATTTTAGTTCCCCGACCAGGGACTGAAACTGGGCCCTCGGCAGTGAGAGCACAGAGCCCTGACCACTGGACTGCCAGGGAATTCCCAACTTCTACCTTACTTTTACTGACTTAAGATTCAAAATTAAACTTTTTTAAAAAAAATTTTGTCAAGTATGTGAACTGTATTGTCAGCGAGACTCTAACCTCCTTGTGGAAAGCAGTCATACTTCTTTTTTTGAGGGGGGGTATCCCCCAATAACCTACAATGACAAAGAGCCAGGTAAGACTAAACTGTAACAAATCTATAATCTTTTTTTTTTTTTTTGCAGTACTCGGGCCTCTACTGTTGTGGCCTCTCCCGTTGCGGAGCACAGGCTCCGCACGCACAGGCTCAGCGGCCATGGCTCACGGGCCTAGCTGCTCCGCGGCATGTGGGATCTTCCCGGACTGGGGCACGAACCCGTATCCCCTGCATCGGCAGGCGGACTCTCAACCACTGCGCCACCAGGGAAGCCCCAAATCTATAATCTTTATCTGCTTTGGCAGTCTAATCTTGACGGCTGTTATTGCCATCAAGATCCTCATGCATTCAGAGCTGAGCCAGCATTTCACAGTAGTTATTTGTCAGATTACCATGGGCTCCACCTTCCAGAAACACCATCCCTAGTGCTATTTACAATATCTTGGTCATGGGAAGAACTTAATGCCATCTAGACAGGACTGAAATGACTCTGACTCCCTGAGGAATGGCTACCTCACTGCAGCAGAGGTTTTCGGAACAAGCCTCCACTCCTGTCATGATAATGCAATTACTGTCTTAATGCAGTAATGCCTCCCACCCCAGTGAGTTACTGTATGCCAATCAGTCAGCTGCCAGCTATGGGTGCCAGGGTCATGCAACAGGGCAAACTCTACAATGGAAACCACCCACGGCTTGGTGGCAGACAATGGGCACTGAGATGTCCTTCTTGAGTTCCCTGGCTGACACGAGGAATGCGTCAGAGAGCAAGCTGGTCAGGGGAAAAATAACTTCAAATAGTACTGCATAAGCTCTGCCACTCAACCAAAGTCTGCTCTGAAGCAAATAGATAAGATAGTTTCAGCCACTTCCTGGCACATTGAGGACAGCAGTGGTTCCTTCACATGTAATCTATTCCACTCAAGAAAGTTTTCCAAGGTGGGCCTTACCTGGTCTGGGAACAGACCCCTGCAGTGCTGTGGCTGGAGTTTCCTTTGGGACTAAACTCTGTGAAGGGGCTAAGGCAAGAAAAAAAAAAAAAGAAAAGAAACAGGGCTTTAACATTCTTTTCTAAACAAAGCAGAAAGCATTGACTGAATCAAGGGCTAAGTAACTGCTGAAATACACATATTCTTAGAAAACAGTACTTGAAGTTAACTTTGAAAGTACAGTACATTCCAAAACTTGCTTAAAAAATTAACTACCTTAACACTCAGTAACAAAGACTAATGCTAGGGGGGTCTGTTTTTCCTTTTTGTATGTGCAAAGATCAAGGAAGGATATGGCCATGAGGACAACAGCACCCATAATTTTTGCTTCTTTGGGTCAAGTTCTGTCCAGTACTCTAAAAAACCCAAAAGCATACTTTAGTAGGCAACCCAAACCACTTTCAGAAGGACAATTATACCATTCAACCGTAGCATTTAAAAAATTGTCTCAACCCTCTAAAGACTACATACCTTGAAACCTGAAATGAATCATATATTGTGTACTTTTCTATAGCACCTGGCAAGTGTGATGGGCAAAAAGCAGGTATTCAATTCATATTTAATGAATCAAATCAATTTGATATGTTATCTACTTATTTTATCTAACAATTACCAAGAACTTACTAGGGGCAAGGCTCTGTGCCAGGCACCCTTAGAGACCAAATTCCATTCTTCTTGCCCATCAGGAATTCAGTCTAGTATTAAAGATATACACAAGTGGTACTCTGGAGTCAACTGTGATGTTATATGAAGCAGATTCATAAAGTATAAAGTACTATGGGAGTCCAAAGCAAGGGAGATCAATTCTCGATTGAGAAATCTGAAGGTACACTAAAGGGAGAAACATCAGAATTAGGCTTTGAAGGACAGAGAGAACTCAGGCCCTTGAAGAGGAATGGAATAGAATACACAATGTACTCTAGAATGGGAACTTCTGGGATCATACCGTAAAGATCGAAGACATAGATATGCCACAGTCACTCAAGGTTATGCCCGCCCATCTTGACGCTCAGTCTACCATCCTAGATAAACTCTACAACAATAAGTTTTACCCTCATGTGGAAACTGTGACTTTTGTAGATTTCTCTCCCTGCTTAGTCAATGATGCATCTGTGTTAAGAATTTATTTTGGATGCTTATCTAATAAAGCCTAAAACTGTACCTTAACTTTTATTTTTTACTCCAGTATTGGTTTCTCACACTTTCAAGGTAAAAGCACAGAAGCCCCTTGAAAAAGAATGGAAATAATCTTAACTGAAATTGAGAAGTTTTTTTTCCAACTACTGGTTCATCTCCCTAATGCTCCTATATTTCTCTAGGATTACACAGGATCCAGATAAAAGTTATTAACTTCATCATTATTCTCTTGGTATCAGAGGGAAAGGTTCCCTGAAAGGAAGCAGAATGGAAACATTTAATAGTGGAGAATATATTTAAGTTACACCAGGTTTTAAAAAAATTCTTAGGGCTCACTTACATCAACAGAACTAGAACCAGGAATATACAGCACCCAGCCCTATGAAGTCTCTGTCTCCTCCAAGGGCAGAGAACTCCTTAAAGACCTTTATCCCTCCCTGTATCTCTAGTTTTGAAGTGAATAGGCAGAGAGAAGGGGAATTAACCTTTCCAGGGCTCTGTGTGAGGCAGTGTGCTGGCTTTTACGCTAAGCCCGCTCAATGAATCTTTGTATAAATTCTGGGAGGTAGGAATTACAATCTCCAGTTTACTGGTGAAGTACATGGCTTACAAGAGGTTAAGGGATTTATCCAACTGCAACTGGTACCAGTGGAGCTAGAATTTGAACTCTGATCCTACCAGAAGCTTGTGTTCTTTCTGCTCCTCCTCCTGCCCCTCGAAGCATTTTAGCTGCATAAACAGGTGCTATTGGCTGGCCTAGGATACAGCAAAGGTCCTTTGAGTTATGGCAGTGTTTGACTGATTCCACTCTGGAGAAATAGAGCTTCTGTACCACTTAAGCCTCACAGAAGGAGGAACATTACGTATGTGTGGGGGGGTGGGGGTGGGTGCGGGGGGAGATGCCAAGGGAAGGAGGGGAGATGTAAGGACATCTACGTTTCCATCATTAGCCCGCCTTACCAGTACATAGGAAATAACCTGAACTAGAAATACATGAATGGAATGGTCTAATTTTCAAAGAGATTGCATCAAAAAGAAACTGGCAATAAGAATTCTTTACCTATTATTGAGTGATTACTATATTCTAGCCCCGTGCTAAAAATGTTATATACATTATCTCATTGAATTCTTACTACTACTATTGTCCCCATTTTACAAAGGAGGAAACTAAAGTTTGGAGTAGTCAAGTAACTTGCCTAAGCCCAAACAGCTGGTATATGCTGGCAACAACCTAAGCCTATCTCTCAACCACTTTGCTCCTCCCATGTCTATTACCATGAAAGCTGGTTTTCTGGAAAGCTCTCCCCTAGAGTAGCCAGTCAGAAGGGAAGAGTCCCTGGGATAGAGTACAATGAGGAAGGGGCTATGAGAAACCTGCTCTGAACAGTTGAGAGCAAGTCTTTACCACAGTAAGGAGAACCTGCAGAAACTGCTGTTTACTCTTAAGGGACATGGTTAAACTGGAGGCTCACAGTATAGAATTTGAATGAAAACTGAACTCTGAGCTTCAGTCTTCTCACCCGCAGAATGGGGTTAGGGCTACCTGACATGGTTGGTATGAAGATGATGTAACACAGGTGAAAATGCTTCTTTGTAAAATGAAAAATTTTATGTAAATAAAAGGTATATGATTATTTCAGGAGCTGAGAGAGAACCATATTAATGAATGTAAACAACGTGGGATTTTAAAAGGGTATATTTCCCAATGTACTTCAAATAAATGAAACTATCACTATTGCCATTTAGCCCATTCTTCTTCCTCCAAGTAGAAAAGGAGTCATGCTTTCTCTTGTGGGATAGGTCATCAAAAATTGACACGAGATGATGCCAGGCCCCAAGTACATACCTATGCTGGGTAGAAGCTCTGGATGAGATCCCACCTTCTCCTCCACTAGGCCACCTGCAAGTGGCTCAGATGCTATGCCAATATGATTGTTTTTTGTGGTCGGCGCCGCGGAGATGAGCTCAGAGGGTACCAGAGTGGTTACTATCGAGCGTACACTGGTGGGGAGAGTACTGCCAGGTAAGCTGGGTCCTGCTGAGGCGGAGCCTGGGCCCACAGGGCTAGAGGTCATTTTTAGCAGAGTGGGTGCTGGGGGTGTTTGGGTTTTACTGTCCAGCTCTGTGGATAACTGCTCTGTTGCCATGAGCCCTGGAGCTGTGGTCTCTAGCCCTTGGCCTTCAGTTTCTCCATCTGCACCGTATTGTTCTTCCCCTTTCTCAAGAGAGCCTGTAACTTTTTTACATGCCTTGGTCAGCAAAATCTGGCCGATTTTGTCCACTTTTCCTTTGCCCTTACTAGATGAGACTGGGCTTCGCCGGTTGACAGAGGAGCCTGGACTATTGGTCAAAAGGGGAGAAACCACTGTGGTTGACTGTGAAGAGGGCAGAGTGCTCTGATCTGCTGAGGTGCTCACCTGAGGACTAGTCTCCTCTGGATTCAGTTCTTTTACTTGCTGGACAGGGGGATGAGGAGGGACAACTGGAGAAGTTGTACAAGGTGGGGAAGGAAGCTGAACAGGGGTGGCTCGTGAGTTAAGGACCAAGGGTCGACCTGTCTGTATGTTTGCAGCAGGACTACTGGAGGGGGCATTAGACAGTACAGGAGCAGAAGAAAATTTTATATTCTGAGGTATGTGTAAAGGGCCAACGACTGCAACAGAGGGAGGGATCAAGCCAGAGTTGGTTGTCAGTGGGGTTGCAGGAATTGTGCTTGGCTGTGATCCTTTCATAACCTGAATTATTGAGGATGAATTGATAAAGACAGGTGTAATGAACTGAGGCCGGGCATTTGACTGAGCAGCTGACTGTCCCTCAGAAACCATAACCTTGCTACCCACATTGGGCATTGTGACAACTGTTGACATTAATGCAGACTGCAGGTGAGTTGGCAGAGCTGCTGATGTGTTAGCTGAAGTTGTGATGGGATTGGAAGTTACAAAAACAGTTATCTGATTTGGGGGCAAAGGAGTGGAAATGGAGGAAGAGCTGACAGGTCTTGACATTACTTGAGGGATGCTTGGTGCAACATTAGAACTGACCTCACTCAGTTCTGGATGCACAAGAGTTGAACATGGCTCGTTACTGTGAGGTAAATTTAGGGAATTAGAGGGTTCTTTAGAAGACGAATCCTGCAGTGTGGGAATGACAGATGCTTTTTTCAGGTCCTCTCCAGAAACTACTGGAGGTGTTACTTCCAGATCTGTAAGCCCAGGGGGTTTAATGGTCACATTAGGAGCTCCAGAGTTATCAAGAAGTTGACTTAACGATGTTGGTGCTTCCCTCATAGCAGGAGACACCAAATTTTTGTTCTCTTCGATACTGGGAAGTTTGTTAGTATCCGAAGGTTGCCCATCCTTTTTGGATTGATCTTCAGGGGCAATTTTAACTTCTTGGGCGGGGACTGCTTTTAGCTCAATGTTTACCTGCTCCTTCCTACCCTGGGAATTCTGGCAGTCGCTGTCCTGAGGCATAGTCAAGCTCTCCTTGTTATCCTCAAGAACACCCCCTATTGCAGCCACAGGCATGGTAGGATTCTGAGGATTCAGCCCGCTGTTGTTAGGGAAGCTTCCAGGTACAGGGGGGTTGGCCAAAGGAGTAGGACTGACCAATACGTTTCTTGGCAACTCCACATTTTGCAACAAGGTTGCATTAGTTTGAGAGGCAAGAGTAAGTTTAGGGGCTTTTGAATTTTGTCTCCCTGGACTTGGGGTGGTTTTCCTACTTGACCCAGGACTAGACCTGCGACTGTTGCTTGGACTTGCCCGTTTTGTTGCTCCAGAATTAGACTGCTTTCCAGAATTCACCACCACAGAATCTAATTTGTGAGTCTGTGGGGCAGCAAAATTGGAAGGATTGTTCATGGTAAGATTTGAAGGTGCTTGTCCGATGGCCTTCAAAGTTGTTGGATTTAGCCCCTGTTGATCAAAGCCTCTGTTTAAATTTGGCCTGGGAGGTAAAGGAATATTAATCTGTGGAGGGAAGAGTCCTGCTATGGAGGCATTGAGTCTTTCTGGTGATAGACTGATTTCTGAAGGTTCTGTGCTGGGAGGGCGGTTGTTGGGTGTCTGAGGATAATAGGGTCTGGGGCTGGCTCTGTTTGGTGTTTTAGGCCTAGATGTTTGGGTTGGGGCAGCCACATTTGGAAAGTGGTGGCCATGAGAGCTGGGCAGGGAATTTACAGGAGGCTGCTGGGGAGTTGCACCTTGAGTTGTTGAAAGGGGTGATGGTCCAGGTTTTGGCCCTGTCATCATTAACTGATTCTGGGAAACCACTAAATGTGAAGGCATGTTATTTGGGCCTCCTGAGACAGATGGTACTTCATTGCCACTTGCTTCAGGGAGTGAGGACATCTCTCCCAGTGGTGAGCTGGAAGGATTCTGGGGGTTCTCCTGGTATACCATTTTCCTTGAATTGCTTCCCAAAGGAGTATTCACAGGCATTGGCATTCTTTGCTTATCAGGTGATGGCGGCACGGAGGCAGGTCCTTGCAAACTGACCATGACAGGCACACTGCCACTCTGTTGCATGGGCATTCTCTGGGAGTCCGGATTCAGGGGGCCCCTTGGGGGATGGACGCTCTGGGAGACTGGAAGCCTAACTGATTTGGGGTCCTGCTGCATCATGAGCATCATCATCATTTGCTGCTGCTGCTGCTGAGACTGTGGCTGACTGGGGGGCGGCGGTGGCTGCGGTGGCGGCTGCTGCTGTGGTGGCTGGGGTGGGGGTGCCACATGCTGCATGAGCTGAGGAGGCATCTGCTGAAGTGGCCTCTGTTCAACTGGTTGAGAAGGATAACCTAAAACAAGCCCCCAAAATCAGGGAAGTTAGATTTTCAGCAAGAAAAGCTTTGCTACCTTTAGAGTATAGCCAAGAAATACTCATCTAGGTTGCACAGACTGTGCACAAACAGCTCAGGCGTGCCCATTCCCAGGGGGATAGGGGCAGCCCCTCATTCTTTGACATAGGCAAAGAGGCACACTGCTTAAGGAAGCAAAAAGCAAAGCGTCAAGAACCTGGAGCTCCTCAGTCTTCAGGGTTTGAATGAGGCATCACTGCACTAAGACTCTAATAGACATTGTGCTATGCACTGAAACTGGCCAAGTCTATACCAGCCAGACATTCAGATGACATGAGAAAAACTCCATCAACAGCAAACAGTTAACCGCCCAGCACTGGGGTCTCATGCAAGCATAGTAAATATTTCATTGTACTTGTGAATGAAGCATTTAAGAGTCACTTTTTTTCTGTTAGCACAGATTAATTTTTTTAAGACTTGGTTTTGTTGAAAACGCCAGCATTGAAGATAGCCTTTTTATTCTTTCAACAGAAGTAAAATATAAAATTCTAGGATTCAATTCCTTAAGGAAGAGGGATTTAAAATTACTCCAACCCATTGGCTTCACACACCATGCTGCATCCTTCAGGCTCAGTTCTTTGGGAAACCCAATGAATTAAACTGCCCCTCCGACGTCAATCAGTTCAATAAATAGTAGGAGCTAATAGAAGCTGATACACACATTGAAAATAAAATGAGGGCACTGAAGTTCTTTTTACGAATGTTAATTTCTGTTTACTTTCTTACATGTAAAACTTTATTTGGAGAAATATTTTCTATGAATCCATAATTGAAGAATAAGCAAGAAGCACAGCCCTCAGGAATAAAAAATAATTTCAGGAAAAGAACTCTGAGGGACAATGCCTTATAGATTTCTAGAAGGCAACATCTCAAATGATTCTTTCTTTTGTGAAGATTTTATTTGGCATTTTAGAACCAAAACCTTACACAATCAGCAGAAAGGATGAAAAGATCATTAACCAAGAATAAAGGTTGTTCAGTGGGGAAAAGCGGGCATATAACTGGGATACATACAATTTCACAAACTAGATTTATTTCACTGTTGCATGAAAAATACATTAGGAAAGTTTTACGAAGGTACAGGCATAAGGACAGCTGGCCTGGCAGTCAGAAGAAGTGTTGGCTCAAGATTTTCACAGAGCAGCTATCAAATGCTGCTGATCCACAGGGTCACACCCTGTGTTTAATAGCTAATCAATGTCTTCTAGCCAATGACAGACATGGCACCAATGAGTACAATGTGCAGAATCCAGTTTTGAAGTTTCATTTTAATCCTTTTTTGTTTTAGGCCCAACTAACCTCTTTACATTTATAAAGCCAACAACATATGGTATTTCTATAGGTTTAACTCAGGTTCCCATGTTAAGAACTGTAATTTCTGTAGAAGCCTTGATGTCAGGGCTATGATACAAATGCCTTTTTCTTTAAAATTAGGCCACCAGACAGCATAAATACCAAAGAGAGCAGCACAGACAATACAGCAGCCTCTCTCGAAAGTAACAGTTAAGGGCATGGCTACTGTAAAGGTTCCAGAAGCTGGAGGCAGCAGTCCAAAGGGCATTAATGTTAAGATAGATTGGGTTGTTGTAACAGAATGGTGGAGAGGGAAAGCTAGGACACACACACGTGCATATAACATAATAAAAAACCAAGTTTATTAATCAAGGGATGAAAATTCATATGCCTTTAGGGGCCAGACCGGTGATGAAGAAGAGAAGTGGGCTGGTATAAGACAGTAGTAGTTCTGTGGACAGAGCCAAACTGCAGAGCTGATGCTCTATCTAAAGGCATTTAAATTCAGGTTTCTGTTTGGTTCAGGATGCTGCATGACAATTCAAACATATCGTAGGCTATAAATTCAGCCTACAGGCTTCCAGTTTGCAAACTGTAGAAAGGAAGCAATAATGTGTGTGAGAACCCCTGGGATTTAATAGAAGAATTCAGATGTATCTGAGGGAAGAAGGCACCTTCCTGTTCATAATGCCTCTGGACCACCACCAAAGACTGGTGACCTCCCAGCCTCAACTGTGCTGCTGTAACTCACTGATGGGAAGTGTGGTGTGCCCAAACAATTTGTAATAAATAACACCAAGTACTGACATCATAATGAATTCACTTTTTTTTTTTTGGATTCACTTTTAAAATACATAAATTAAGGGTGGACTAAAGTTTATCCCTAAAATAACATCACTTACACTTACATGCCAAAAAAGGAGGTGGAGGAACTAGAAAGGAAGAAACATAATCCTTTGTATACACATGGAAGTGTGGCCTAAATGTGACAGGCTTGTGTGTCTTCAACTGTGTCACAGGGGAATAAAGTTACAAACCACTGCTTAGGCCAAGATGAACCAGGTATAGAGACACTGTGGCAGCTGACCTTGGTTCTATAATACCTAGGTTGGAATGAACGAATTTTAGGAGGCTTTTTCCTCTTCAACATAATTTTCAACATTTAGAGGTTGATATTATTTTATAATCAGAGGAGGATACAACACAGAGGGCTTCAACAATATTGGTCCTATTTATTATTAACCTGGGTAGGAAGTACATGAGTGTCTCTTTTATTACTCTTTACATATTTTTTATGTTTAAAGATTCATAATAAAAGTTGTATTTAAAAAATATTATTTTAAACCCTGGTAGTTCTCTGCTTTAAGAAAGCTCCAGTAGGAAAGGCTGCAGGAAAGGCAGGCAAGCAGGATTAGAGTGAAAACATCTTTTCATTTAATCTTAATCCATTTTGATGCCAACTAGAACCTTAATATTGACAAGAATAAAGAGGCACTTGACATTTTAGTCTGATTTTATGAAGACCTAAAATAATGAAGACTAATTTGAGCAAAATACACACACACACACAAACACACACATACACACAAATACATACACACACATGCCTTCAGAAGTAATATTTGAAATTTTTTAACTTAATATCAAGGCACAGTTTCCAAATACTAGACACATTAAATCACCAAAGTAGCCTAGTTAGTACACAAAATAAAATACTATTGTTTCCTTGAAAAAAAGACTTATAATGCTGTAAATAAATGATGACAAGCATATAAACTTTAGTTAACATTTTATCACCTGGTGGTCGGTTTGAAAATTCTGGCAATTTAGGACCTGAGTTGTCCAAGTTAATTCCTTGTTCTCCAGGCAATGGCTGCTGATCAGCCTCCTCCAGACCAGCTGGGCGAGTATCTGGGGTGCTAAAACATAAATTACACATTTGAGAGTAAGTTGTATAGTTTACACACAAAACTAAGCTTAACCCCTCCCCTGTTTCTGAAAAAATCCATTTGCATTATCATTCTTAGCATTATTTACATCTCTCTAGTCTGATACAGTATTCAATATTTGGCATAAAAAAATCTGCCAATTTCATTAAATGTTAAAATCCACTTATTTTAATAACATGGCTATTTACTCAAAGCGTTTTCTACAAATTTCTGATATAATGATTTTCATGTAATCATCCATCCCTTAGATGTTTTAAGGGATCATAGTTTGGGCTATCAATATTATAATGTACTGTGCCTATGAAACCACATTATCTTTAGGGTAGCTATCAAATTCAACCAGGGAGTCCAGATTCTTTTTTTTGTGAATATTGCAGTGGTGGCTCCAACAATTCATAACACCTTGCAAGAAGCTGCAGATTGGCTAATGAAAGTGGTATTCAGAGAACAAAGAAAGCCGGAGAATACCAGAACAAAGCTAATTAATTTTGTTGCAGAAAGTGTATTTAACAGACATCCCCATTGGCTTTGGGATGCTTTCAATTTTACCTGGGTGAACCTTAGAATTTTTAGTGGGGAAGAAAAAAATGTTACCTACTAACACCCACATTCCCAAAGAACCAGAGTGCTCACAGCCCTCATTTTGTTTTTAATCTTACTCTTAGCTGTACTTTTCTTTTCTACCTTTTGTTTCCCTTTGCCCTGATATTGGTCACCCACTTTTAGACAGTATTTTACCTTACTGTACTCTCTGTAGTTTCATAAGCCTTACCTTAAATCCATTTTAAAAGCCCTAGCACATGGGAATTTAGAACCTGAAGCAGGTCCTGAGCACATGCAGATGCCTATATCAATTTGCTCCTTATATGACTTCTCTCTCACTTCAAATTATAGGCAAGGATTCTGCAGTATCCTTTACTTTCAAAGAACTGTATTGCTAAAAAAAATATCTCAGATACCTGTTCCAGTTACCTCATGTTATGGATGAAAAAACAAAGGCCCACAGCGGTGTTAGAAAACAGATCCAAGGTTCCATAGTAAGCTAGAGGTAGAATTGGGAGCATGCACTCTTACTTTTAACTTACTGTCTCCCTTCCTAGGAGCCTTGATGCTATATAAGGCCCTTTTCACAATATGTATCCCCAACAAGTAAGCAATCTCCCTAAGTGCTGGTGCTGACAGCAAAAATCCATACTAATGGCAACTGAAGAACCTTGCAATTTTACTCCTAGATTACTGGGAGGAATAAATATTGCCACAGAAATGTTATTCCCACACAGGTTGATAGTAGTAAAGAATTTAACTTAGAAAGAGCTATTGGAAAAATCAGATAACCAAACGGGTTGTTAATTCTGAATTCAAGAAAAATATAGGTTGTTAATATACAATTATTGAATATTGATTTATAAGATTCAAGAAAAAAGTGAATACAATATTAGAGTACAACCAAAGAAATATTGTGAGAAGGCTGAGAGAAAGGCAGTTGGTTTTATCTTGAACATTTCTGTTTCCTTAACTAAAGCTCTCCTATTCTCTTCTATAGTTCTAGCAATTTATTTGAATTAACCTGTTTTACACTCCTCAGTCACTATTTTCTGGTAATAAATGTCTCTGAATTTCAGTTTTATAATTAAAGGCAGAAAATCCAGTTTAATCAATATTCCCTTTGGAAACATTTTATCAAGGCCAAAAATATAACTTAAATTAATGCTTAGCTTCAGGAAATGTAATATAAATCAATTGCCCTTCCTGCTGTAATCTTGCAAAAGAACTCACCTTTACCAAAAGGGTAACTGATTTAAAAGATCCAATCATCTTAGCATGAGATTTTAAGCTGCTGCTGCTGATAAAGAGCCTTTAAAGGAAAGGCACCTGTACAAAAAACCATTTCTATTTGAGAGACAGAAGGGAGTCTCCATAAACGGTTTTCATTTCCAAAACACATACAGCCTTTCTGGTTCCCCAACAGTCATTATAAACCTGACATGCTTTGTGGAGTTGCAGTGTGGCAGCACTTTCAGGCTCTGAATGCCACAACCCTCCGGAGAGTACAGACTTAAGAGACATATATCAGTTGACTGCAATGTATGAACCTTGTTTGGCTCCTTATTTGAACAAACTGTAAAAAAAAATTAATTTGAGATAATCAGGGAAATGTGGACACTGTATGGAAATGTGAGAATATGAAGGAAGTATTAGTTTTTCCAGGTGTGCTAATGGTATTGTGTGGTCATAAAAAACACAAAACAAAGACAAAACCTGTCCTTATCTTTCAGAGGTACATACGGAAATATTTAAAATGAACTTGCTTTAAAATAACCAAGAGGATAATGGGGAGAGCATAGATGAAGGCAAGATGGATTATGAGTTGATAATTTGAAGCAAGGATAATTTCATTATAATATTCTTATTTTATACATGTTTAAAATTTTCCATCAAAAAAAGTTGTTCACATAGAAATAAATGAATAAGATTTTAGGCAAAACTATCACAACCTACTTTAGATCCTGCTGACTATTTTTCTTCTTCCGAGGGGGTTTCTTCTTCTTCGGTTTATTTGCGTTGGTATTATTTTGTTTATTGTTTACCCCAAAATGGCCTGCAGAGATATCACTCTGCAATAAGTTGACCAACAATGGGCTTGTTAGCGTGACATCCTTATTGACCGGGAAGCCTGGATTCTGACCACAGGACATCTGATTTCCATTGGGTGCTCCACTGAAAGGTGCATTGAAAGGCATCCCATGGCCTGAGAAGTGGTTTCCCGAGGCACTGTTTCCCTGCATGGCCTGCACGTGGGGGGGGACCATGTTGCTTTGTTGCATGCTAACGTCAGGCATCATCTGAGACAAGCTGACATCGTTATTTGCTGTAGTAGCAGGATCGCCATGCGGCTGGGCCATATGTGGGCTGGGCCCTGGTGGCCTCAAGACCTGCCCCTGAATCCCCATAACCTGAGATGGACTGTTGTTCACGGGCCCTTGCTGGGGCAGCATCTGTCCCGACATCTGTCCCGTAAACTGCACCATGTTTCCTTGCATGTTTGGAGTTGGTCCCCTCATTATCTGTGCTGGTCCCGACATGACATTAGATTGATTCTGAGTGTTAAACTGTTGCTTATTCCCTTGCATCTGATTGGTCATAATCTGCTCTATCATTGGGTTCTGTTGAAGCAAAACTTGCCCCTGAGGCCCCATTATCTGGTTATGTGGTGCCATCATTTGTGGGGCCTGCTGGGGAAGCATCTGCTTGGGTGGGGTCATCCTCTGGGGCGAGGGCCCAAGATTTTGGCTCTGAGGATTCACCATCATCTGACCCTGTGGCATAAGCTGGGCCCTTGAAAGGATCATAGGGTTCTGAGGGTTCAAGGTTCCTTGTTGCTGGACCATCTGGCCCTGGGAGGGCACGATCTGTTGGTGCATGCTCATCAGCTGAGATGGTGGGCCCTGCTGGGGCTGGCCTTGCATGTTGCCCAGGTTCACCTGAGGAACCCCAGAACTACCAGCCTGTTGGTTGTTCATGTTGCCATGAATTCCCATGAGGCTGGGCTGCATCATATTTGGTGGCCCGTGGGACACCTGCATCTGGTTTTGAGGAGGACCAGCTCCTTGACCACCTTTAAAAAAAAAAGGCACAGTTTCAGAAAGTAATACTATTATCTTGCTGGTATTAAGATTCTCAAATTACCTTAATTAGAAAAACACAACTCACCCATATCCACTGACCAACATAAACAAATGTGCTGTGCTTAACATACTTCTGTGAGTTTTCCATAGTATGGATATGTGACTGTGGCATATATTCTCAGTGACCATACAATAGAGAAGGAGAAACTGTTTCTTTACTCCTATTTGGTAACTTAAAGATAACATTTTGAAGATCAATAAAGTTTATTTTCTCTTAGATTAAACAAAGAGAAAGGCAGCATCTCATTATTTAAAAATGATGTGCAGCTACCTTAAAATGAAGAAAATTTATGAAAAGCACTGTAGGCTAGTGAAATAAGCTCTGCTTTAGATGAGTCAGGAAACAAAAAATGTGATGTTGCCGCTTAAAAAAACCTCAGCAAAGTTGAGAAGACATTTAAAAATGCTCCTTGGAAAACTAATAATGACTCTCAAAGGTTATGCATGTGATATCTGGATTGACATCCGGATGTTACACTGTAAAGAAAAGAATAGCTAATACTTCTTAAAGACAGGTCTCCTCTGCCCCAATGTGGCAAAAATTATTTAATCTTGATCTGGAAGCTGAGCCTCTGGTGGAACTAAAAGACAATTCAGAAGCTGCAGACAGAAGACAGTCAACAAAGGATGTTAAAACTTCAGTGACCCTCCCCTGTGGCAGTCCCTGGTGGACCATATGGGACATGTTTTATTCTTCTAAATTATTTCTAATTCAGACAAAGAACACTGCCTGGCTTGCTGCAGTGTTTACTTATTGTTGGGTCTTTGGGACTTTCCTATAACTGCTTATATTATCTCTCCCTTTTTGCAGAATAACCTTCTAGCTTATTTTATCTGCTCCCCTTTTTTCATTTTTAAATGGGGACTAAAAAGTGGTAGCCACAATGAAGTTATGAGCCCAGTCCATGCTCCAGCCAGGAGACAGGGGACAAACTGTCCACTGTTAATACAATCCAGATTTTTCCTGAATCCTAAGGAAGATTTTCTAAACTGGCCTTAAATTGAATTCCATGACCACTGTATATACTATATACACTAATATACCAGTGTATATTCATCCAATCAACAATTATCTATTGAGTACCTAATATGTACAAGGCATTTTTGGTACTGAGGTAACATCAACAAACAAGATAGATCAAATCCCTGACCCCTTAGAGTCTAGCTGGCAAGAGTAAAATAACAAAGTATCTTCACAGGAAGAAGTAAAAGCTAACAAGAGAAATAATGTAGGGTAGGAGAAGAGAAAACGACAGACAAGAGTAGAGCTCTCTTAGATGGGATAAACAGAGAAATCAAAACAATATGTGCATGGGGGAGGAAGGCACCATATAAAAATATATCAATAAAATAGTTGTGCTTATGTGGAGGAATTATGAATGATTTTATCACCGTTTTAAAACTTCCTATAGAAAACATGAATTCACATAGCTCAGGAATTATAGGAATTATATCTGCATTAGCAGATAGGGGAAGTCATGCAGTTTGCCCTACCCTTCTCTAAGCTTTCAAGAGGTTTTTTTTTTTTTTAAGTTTAAAACTATTCTCCTTCCTTAGTGATTTACAATTAATGTTGGAACCACATAACTGAACTAACTCCAAGTGAGGATCGGAGTTCAGAAAATATTTGTGCTACCTCAGTCCAAATTTCCTGAATGAGAAAGGGTAACAGGGTTAGTCATGTGTCACCTAAAAGCAACCAGAAACAGGAAGTCTGGGCTTATACAATGTTGCTTACAAATACTTTTTAGCCATTCTGCTCCACACTATTTGTCCTCCTAACCTGTAATGATTAAAGCCTGGTCTTCAAACACCACAGAATTCAGACACTCAGCATATACAATGTTAACATGAACTACAAAGAGATTTTAAAAGCCACAGTTGTTCAAAATGCTATGTGCCTCCATGCCTTTGTACCTATCATCTCCTTTGCCAGAAACACCTTTTGCCCTTTCACTAACTGAGCGGTCAGCAAACTATGGTCCATGGGCCAAATCAGGCCCATTGCCAGTTTGTAAATAAACATGAATTCAGAGTTCAGGAATATAGCTTTGCAGTAGCAGATAGGCAGGTTGGAACACTGCCATGGTCATTCATTAATGTATCGTCTATGGCTACTTTGGTGCTACAACAGCAAAGGTACATAGTTGCAACAGAGAACATATAACCTGCAAAGCCTAAAATATTTACTATCTGGTTCTTTTCAGGAAAAAAAAAAGCTCACCCCAGCTCTACCTCAAGTTTTATCTCCTTTCTTTAGGTGGTTCTAGATTCTCCAAACATTTTACCTAATTTCAATATATCAGTTATTGCCCTGAAAGAATAATTATTTATAGGTCTGAAACTAAAGGGAAGGACCAGGGCTTCTATTTCTCTGTATATCCTTGCTGTCTACCTACCTCACAATGTTCAATAAATGCTGGCTGAATAAATCACAGAAAACAAACCTGCATGCTGGACGTTTTGATTTGCTTGCAGCTGAGGGGCTCCTGAATTCCCAGGGGTAGTTGCTGTGGTCGAAGGCACCTGACCTTGCATAAAGTTCGGATTGGCCTGTCCTGCTGAGAAGCCAGGTGGGAGGCGTTTAGGCATTCCTTAATAGAAAACAACGAGTAAGGCAGTTACCTAGCAAATTTATACTCTTGCTTAGATGTGGAATGAATAAGGAAGGATGAGCTGCATGAAGTCTCCACTGGCTTAGCTCTCTCTGTCACACTGGTAAGATCTTTAATAAGGTTGGGAAAGATGGTTAAAAAAATCAACACAATCTCTTACATGAGCATTGTCAAAATGAAAAAGAAATACTAAAAAATTTACACTTAGAACATGCCAAGGAAAAGATGGCAATCTGCTCCCTAAATGTGATCTGAGGCCACATCACAGCAAGGTTTAGGGCTCACTTTTCTGTAATACAACGGACCCCAAAACTTTACATACTTTAACACAGGTACCAAAGGAATATGCTAAATTCTCTCATATTCACACAAACTGATAAGAACTACTATAAAACAAAGACCTGGGTCCTGATATTAAGCATACATAGGTGATTTTTTTTTCCACTGAGGGAAATGGATGATAATTTCCTTTGTGGAAAATTTCTCCCCAATATTGTGCTTGTCTCTTTGGAAGAGACGAGAGATCAGAAACAATTCACAGGAGCGTCAAAGTGAGGGTATATTAAATTTATCATTACACCTTCCCCTCAAAAGGTTTGCTGAAATACTGACAGCTATGGTACCAAAAACCGTACTCTGATGCAATCTTACTAAAGTAATATTTTCTTTTATAGGAAGGTTTAATTTCAGAAAACAAATCTGTAATAAGGAGAATCTCAGAACCCACTCATAGTTTATAACATAGGCCTGGATGTGGCCAGATCACCTAGGTGAGCACATCACTTGCTCTATGGAAAGCATTAAGACCTAAGCTCACTTAAAATTTTTCTGTATTAGTCCTTTTACTTAAGGGCCAAATTTTCAATGTCCTGAAAAACGCTCTGTAGACAAATATGCATTTGTCCTTTCTTTAGCAGTGACAAGTCCCCATTTGCATGCTTCCATTGTAATTAAATCTGTAATCACATTTGCAGGAGGGACTACCCAGCTTCCACTGATCCAAGGCTAGATGCCCAGAACAGTGAAGTTTGGAGCCGAAACATTCTTGCACTTTCTAAAAACTTCTTAGGATTCAAATATTACCGCCTGCATGTCAGTAAAAGAGAGTGAAAAAAGACTGATGAGCAACTTAATTTCACCAGAAATCATGGGAACATGCCTTTGCTATGTTGCACTAAAGATGCGAGGGTTTTTTTCTGGGTAGGCAATGGGTGTCTTTTGGTGGGGGGTATGTTTATCAGATGACAGTATTACTCTCTATACCTTTCTGAAAAGCTCCAAGCACATTCATGTGCACTAGATCAATGATTAATAAGAATAAATAATAAACATGGAGATGGATAAGTTTTACTGTAATCGTTTTACCTCTCACACATTAAGCTCCATTGCTTTTTCTTCATACAAGAGGCACCTTACAAAATAAATAAATAAATCTCCTTTAGGTATAACTGGTGGAATTCCCTCTCTAAGGAGCAGGCATTGGTATTATAAAACTATAAAAGTCAATGATTTCTGAACTTATTCCCCTTTATATTTTAATCAAATTTAACAAACACCATGCTATTTTACTAACTAGGATTATCAAAATTGAAAATCAGAAGGGCCTTTTCCCCAACAAAACCCTATTCTTATCTTTTCATTTTTGCTCTATTGCATAATCTTAATGTTTTCAACAGCTGAGCAGCTTAAGCTGTTAATAAAATCCTGTTTCTTCTGGATGTTTTAATTTACTAGTAGAAGATCAAGCAAAAACATTTTGAAAAACAAAATGAACACCTCTATATTGAATTTTACCTGCATTTTTATCCAGAGGGCTAGCTTAAACATAACCAGTGAGATGCTGCATAATGTATCAAGTTAACTAAGTCATATCAAGTGTCACCACTATATCCACAAAACCAAATAATTACATCCTTATTTCACTCCCTCCATTAACTCTAAAAATTGAAGTTCTGCTAAGAGCTATCTCTAGTAAATTTACCAACACAAATAGCTTCAGTGTTCCTCACCTCCTAGGCCTGGATGTAAACTCTGTGGCCCCTGATTTGGTGGTTGCTGCTGCATCACCATGAAGTTAGGTGGCACGTTTCCCTGTTGAACCATAGGATTCCGACCCGGAGAGCTGACGGGCTGCTGAAATCCCTGGGGAAGTGGGTTATTTTGAGGTGGCCTTGGTCCCATCTGCTGCTGAGTTTGGTTAACCGTTGGGGAGGATGCAGGGGATCCCTGCTGGAAGGAGGAGGGTGAGGAGGCAGGAGACTTGTTGGTGAGGTGGGGCTGCTGCAGGGGGGCTGGGACCCTAGAGGGCCCTCCCTGCAAACTCTTCATCTGAGGAGCTGTGAACTGGCCTGGGTTGCTCATCTGAGGAAAGTTTGCATGGGCTTGTGAAGCTTGCTGGCTGCCAAAGGGATACGGAGGGGGAGGGTGGGAAGGTGTCTGTACCGTGGCTAAGGATGGTCTTGCCTGGAGTTGCTGTTGCATTGGGCCGGGCAAGGGAGCCTTCTTCCACCCTTGATTTGCAGTCATTGTGCCCAGAGAACTCTGGGCTGGAGGAGGCTGAAGGGCTCCCGAAGGCAGCTGGTTCCAGCCTGGAGGAACAGGCACCTGAGCTGGGGCAGTAAACTGGGGTCGAATTCCCTGCGGCTGCTGCTGCTGATGTTGCTGTGGGGGTCTTGTCTGCAGCTGCTGCTGCTGTGGCTGTGGCTGCGGCTGCAGCTGGGGAAAATTAGCTGGGTTTATCTGTCTGTTCACAGGGACGGGCTGCATTGGGTGATGCGGGAGAGCTAAAGATCCTGAGGGATGACTTTGCTGCTGTATATGGAGCCCAGAGAGGAGTGGATCCATTGCATCTGTTTAAAGACAGTCAACAAAGCAATAATTAACTTACTGCAACCTAGATCCTTCAGCAATCCTACAGTCTTGGCAATTCTGCAAATATAGAGTAAAATCTTCTGGGATCATTCAATGAAACATTAGTGAGCACTTGCTATAATGCAAAGCAACTGCCGAGATGACAGAAAGATGAATCTTGTCTAGAAAGAGCTTATGATTCTAAGTGGATATAAGAGCCAAACATAAAATGTGGAGTATTCTCCAAAGCATATTCTGAGGAGCTATAAGAAAACAAAACAAATACAGAATTCTCAGTCATGGAGTGGCAGGACTAAGTAGGCCAAGGAATAGATTTTTAGGAATAAGAGTAATGATAAGAATAATGAGAAATTCTGAGAAGAAATTCTGAGAAGGAAATGATGACTTTCAGCTTTAAGAAAGTAGGGCAGATTTTACATAGAAGACAGCATTTAAGCTGCGCAGTTAGGAATCTGGCATCAGAGAGAGGTGAATTTTGTAATGATCTGTGCCTCTTCAGTTCTCAAAGATTGGAGGTCAATACCTGACTGAGAAGCAGGGCGAGGAGTCCTGGGCTGCAGTTCTGAATTGGGGCCTGGTGCCATCATGGAAGATGACACATTTCCACCCTGGGGTATCATAACAGTGGCAGGGCTGGTCATCCTTATTAATCCTAGAGAAAAAAAAAAAAATCCCTAGAATAGAGTACTGGCATTGGTACAATGTTTTTAATGAAATATTTCAAAAATATAAGAAGGTATGCAAAATTTTTATACCACCATCTACCTTATTTAAATCTACACATTCTACCCTGCCTCCTTCAGGTATATATGCAGATACACCAGAAGCTGCCTCCTCCTTCCCAATCTCATTCCATTCCCTCCTTCTTATCTTATATCTGGGGTTAACAGTTCCATGCATGTTTACCTTTCCTACATACATAAACTGCATTACATTTTTTGTATGCTTTTAATCTTTGTATAAGTGACACCATTCTGTATGTATTCTTCTTCAGTTTCCCTTTTCACTTAATATTATTTTCTGAGATTCATCCATCTTGGCTGCTATAATAGTGCCCCATTTTATGGAACCGATAAATCCATTCTCCTGCTGATGAATACTAACTTTTCATCCTTAGAATTTTGCAGTGTCATGTATTTGTCCTGTATTCCACAGACATGTAAGAGTGTCTTTAGACTATATACTTAAAATTGCTAGGTTTTAAAGTATAAGCACCTTCAATTTTACTAGATATTGGTAAACTGCACTCAAAAGAGGTTACGCCAGTTTATACTCTTACTAGCAGTCTGAGAACTCCTCTTGCTCCACATCTTTCTAATTGATTTTTATTTTTAAAAAATTTTTTGAAGATTTTTTTCAAGTATTTTACTTATTTGTTTGTTTATTTATTTTTGGCTGATTTGGGTCTTCGTTGCTGTGCACGGGCTTTCTCTAGTTGCAGCGAGCGGGGGCTACTCTTCATTGCGGTGCACAGGTTTCTCATCGCGGTGGCTTCTCTTGTTGCGGATCATGGGCTCTAAGTGCGTGGGCTTCAGTAGTTGTGGTGCACAGGCTCAGTTGCTCCGTGGCATGTGGGATCTTCCTGGACCAGGGGTTGAACCCGTGTCCCCTGCACTGGAAGGCAGATTCTTAACCACTGTACCACCAGGGAAATCCCTAAAGATTTTTTTGATGTGGACCACTTTTAAAGTCTTTATTGGCTTTGTTACAATATTGCTTCTGTTTTATGCTTTGGTTTTTTGGTCGTGAGGCAAGTGGGATCTTAGCTCCCCGACCAGAGATGCAACCCGCACCCCCTGCACTGGAAGGTGAAGTCTTAACCACTGGACTGCCAGGGAAGTCCCTCTAATTTCTGATACTATTAGACTTTCTAGGATTTAGCATCTGTGCTCGTAAGTGAAAATAGCTTATAATTATCCTCTCTTCCTGTCCTTTAATTTTAGCATCAAGATTAAAACAACTTCAAAATGAGCTGGAAAGCATCTTTCCTCGTTTTCTATGCTCTGAAAGAATATGTGTATCTGTCTTTTAAATATTTAGTAAAACTCACCTGTAAAATCATCTGAGCCTGTGGTTATACTAATTGATTCATAGGGAGACAGATTAATTATTTCAATTGCTTAAGTAGTTATACATTTTTCATTTGATATGCCTTATTAAGTCAGTTTTAAATTATATTTTCCAGAAAACTGTTTCTTTGCCAATGCTTTCAAATTTACTAGCATAAAGTTATTCATGGAATACTCTTCTTTCCATTCTTTTTTAAAATTAAGGGATTCCCCTGGTGGTCCAGTGGTAAAGAATCTGCATTCCAATGCAGGGGAAGTGGGTTCGATCCCTGGTCGGGGAACTAAGATTCCACATGCCGCGGGGCAACTAAGCCTGCGTGCCACAACCACTGAGCTCGTACGCCTCAACGAGAGAGCCCATGTGCGGCAAACTACAGAGCCCATAGGCTCTGGAGCCTGCATGCCACAACTATAGAGAGAAAACCCACATGCCACAACTAGAGAGAAGCCTGTGTGCCACAACTAGAGAGAAACCTGAGCAGACCGTGCGCTGTAATGGAAAAAAAAAAAAGATCCCGTATGCCTCAACAAAGATCCCATGTGCCACAACTAAGTCCCGACACAGCGAAAAATAATAAGGAAAATAAATAAATATTTTCAAAAATTAAGATATAATTCACATACTATAAAATACACCCTTTAAAGTGTATGCTTTTTTTCGTTCTTGACATTGCTTGTGCCTCTTTCTTTTTTGTCTTACCAGGATCATCAATTTTAGTTGTCTTTTCAAAGAAATATCTTTTGGTTTTGCTGCTCTCTTCCATTGGGTTTTTTAATTCATACTTCACTTATCTCTGCTCTTACCTTTATTATTTCCTTCCTCCTAAATTATTACTTTGCTGTTCTTTTTCTCAATTCTTAAGTCAGACATTTGGCCTGTTAATTTTCATTTGATGTTCTGCTCTAATATAAGTATCTGAGGGTTCAAATTTTCTTCCAAATGCTGTACTGTCTACATCTCACAAGTTTTGATATGTACCATTCTCATTATTCCCTTCTAAATATTTTCAAATGTCCATCATGATTGCTTTTTAAAAAATCATTGGGTATTTAGAACATATTTTAAAATTTCTAAAAATATGGGATATTTTAGTTGGTCAGGTTTTTTTTCTTCTTCTTCTTCTGCTTCTTTGTTTTTGGCCACTGACTTGACTTAATTGCACTGTGGTCAGAGAAAATGATCTGTGTGTTACCAATATTTGGTATTTACTGAAACCTGATGTGGGAATAACACATGGTCAATTTATATAAATGTTACTCTTGTAAAGATTAAGAATTCTTGAATTATTAGTGTATGGTTTCTGAATATATCCATTATATCAAACTATTCTAATCATATTATTCAAGCTTTCTTTATCCTTACTAGTTTTTGCTCAATCCATCAATTACTAACCCAGGTGCATTAAAATCTCCCCTAGTATTTGCTATCTATATGAATTCTGACCATTTTTGCCTCACATATTTTGAGGCTAGGTTATTAAGAACACAAAAGTTTAACTATCTTCCTGAATTCTTCCTTTTATATTAGACTTTAAGTCCACTTTAAGTGGTCCTTTTTATCCTCAGTAATGCTTTTTATCTGATAAAAATATTGTTATACTCCTTTTTCTTGGTTAATATTCATCTGGATTCTCTATTTTTCTCTATCCTTTTAACTATGAACTGAGACCTTATGTTTTATATCATTCCTGTAAGAGCACATAACTAAATCTGAGATTATTATTCAATCTATTAATCACTTTCTTTTTATCAGTGCTTATAATCCATTTGCATTTATTGTTAATTACTGGCATATTCTGGTTTATCATTTTATGATACCACTGCTTTTTACCCTTCTTTTCCTATGCTGTTTTCCTACTTTTCCTGAATTTTATTGTATTGTTTTCATCATGCCCTTACTTTCTACCCCCCCACTACTAGTTTAGAAGCTATACATTCTATTATTTTAGTGATATTTTTAAAATGTCAACAGACATATCTGACTTAATGTCAAAAGACCATATGTGATCATCATTATTACTAAATAAGTCAACGCTTATTTAGATTTACCCCATGTTTACCAATTATTTAGCTCACCATTCCTTCTTAGCTCTTATTTCTTCCATCTTAGGTTCAATTTTCTTCTTCCTGAAGTACATCCTTGGGCAGTTCAATTAGCAAGGGTCTGTTAATGGTAAATTCTCTTAGTCTCTTTAAAAAGGTGTTTAATTCATACTACTCTTGATACTATAGCTTTGTTTAAAATTCTGGGCTGTTAATAATTTTCTCATCACTTTGAAAATATTATTCTAATGTTTCATGGCTTCCAATGTTGCCACTGAGAAATTAGCTGTGGGTCTGATAATCTTCCCTTTGTAAATAACTGGTCTTTGATTTTGAGTTGCTTTTAACATTCTCTTTGTTTTTCATGCTCTGTAGTTTTACAATTTTGTGTCTAGATGTGAATTTATTTTTATTTGTAGGGCTCAGAATTACTGGACTTCTGAATCTGAGGACTCATGTCTTTCATCAATGCTGGAAAAATTTCAGCCATTCTCTCTTTCACTATTGTCCCTCCTCAATTTCTTTATCTTCTTCTGGAACTCTTTTCAGATATACATTCAACTTTTTCATCTTATCCTTCACTTCTCTTGACCTCTTTCATATTTCCATCTCTTAATTTATTGTCTGCTGTATACTGGGTAATTTCTTCAAACTCACCTTCCAATTCAGCTGTGTCTAATTTGCTGAATAAGTTATTCACTTCAATAATTTAAAAATTTCTATAAGTTCTGTTTTTCCCCCAAATTCTCTTTGTGTTTTGATAGCGTCTTATCCTCTTCTTAGAATTTTCATAATTTTAAACATGCTGATATTCCTATTATCTAGAATTCTGGAGGGAGGGACTCTAATTTAAATTTTATGAATTTGGAGTAGGCTTTATGAGAAATCTGCAATGGTTTGGGGTGAGAGCTTCAAAGATTATTACCACTTTAGGACCACTTAATAACTTAGCTTAGCTGTACCTGGGTCATTTCAATAATACATTAAATGTCCAACATACATAAGGATAGAGAAGACAATTCTACAACAACTCTTTCTCCCACTCCTCAGCTAGAGCCCAGACCAAGAGAGACAAGTTTTGCATTTGTCTCCTTGTGCCACAGTGAAAATTTTCTAATCTACCTTTTACTGAAAATCCTGGCTTCATGAAGGATTCCTAATTCTAACTACTTTATGTGGACCCAAGGCAAGGCTTCAAATTTTATCCCTCTTGGTCATTAAAACTCAAATTTCTTAGCCCCTGCAGCATCTCCTCATTTGTTTACTGCTATTCAAATTTCTTCTTTGACTTCGTTCTTGCCCTGGGGATTTCCCTTACTGTCTTACAAGCTCAGCTGTGCATTAAATGTTATATTTCATCCAGCATTTTCAGGTGTTTTGTAGTTGGGAGAGGGTAATTAGGCAAATGTTTATCTGTTAAAAATGGATTTGTTTCTACCGGTTTGCAGGGCAGAAATTGAGACACAGATGTAGAGAACAAACGTATGGACAACAAGGGGGGAAAGCGGCAGGGGGGTGGGGGTGGAGGTGTGATGAACTGGGAGATTGGGATTGACATGTATACAATGATGTGTATAAAACTGATGACTAATATGAACCTGCTGTATAAAAAAAATAGATAACCAATAAGAACCTACTGTATATATAAAAAAATTTTAATAAAAGAATGGATTTGTTTCTGAGGAACCCCACCCCATTTTTCAAAGATGGTAATTAGACAGTGAGAAAGTTCTTAGGAGATAAGAAGAAACAGGTTTTCTTAGTCTACAATCAGCTTCCTATCCTCAGAAATGTTTAAATGCATGCTGGCTACATGCTTAGTAGAGATACTATAGAATACATTCCAGCACTATGTGGGAATCTGGACTAGAGCCATGATTCACAACTGGGGGCAATTTCGTCCCCCAAGGGGTGTTTGGAAATGTCTGGAGACAGTTTTGGTTGGAAAAACCTGGGGGAAAAAGGTGGTGGTGCTACTGGCACCTGACAGGAGGCCAGGGATGCTGCTGAACATCCTACAGTGCATAGGACAGCTCCCCACAGGAAAGAATTATCAGTTCAAAACATCAATAGTGACACATGACTAAATGACTAGTATGGTATAATCACTAATCTTGGGATTCTATGAGGCTATGAAAAGAAAATAGGCTACGGATTTGGTTTTCATTACAAAAGACTCCTGCTTATCAGTCAACTTTCTGTTGCCAACGCTAAGAGAAGAAAATGGCATTAAGAATAATTTAGTGTAAGACATTCTAGCAATTCCAAACCAAAGTTATTTATTATTGTTTTAGAGGCTTCTCTTTCCCTTGAAAAATTTCTCTGTTTAACCAAATGTTAAATTTTGTTTGCATCCACTATCCCAATGGACAACAGAAAAAAAAATTCTTAAAGTATGCTTGGCAGTAAAGAAAGACACCTAGGGGTTAAAATGTTACTGTGACTACAGATCATTACTAATTGATTTTTCCTGAAACTTTATACTGTATATATTATCATAGTGTCCTTCATTAAATACCAGTCTAACCTAATTTCAACCTAAAGCTTCTAAGTTTCCTATGTTGATAATGAACTACCTACACATCACTAAAATTTACACTCACTTTTCAGAGATGCTTATAAATATGCCTGCTATTTGCCAGATACTAGAAGAGCTTGCAATTAGTGTGTTGATATTGTTTTAAGAGTCCTAATGTTTTAAGGCTGGAAGAGATCTATAACATTGTTTCTAGGACATAATTAAATATGTTTACAGCTAACTAAGGTTAGTAAATATTAAGACATCTGGCCAGAAATTGAGACCAGAACCCAGATTTCCTGAGTCTCATCCTAGGTCTAGTCTTTCTTTCACTAACTATATGCAACTTGGCTAAACTCTGCCCACTCTTCTTCTGGCCCTGGTTCTTCAGTAGTGGCAATAGCGTCACCTATAATCTCTCATCAAGCTGCCTTAACACCAAATGCTCAGACTTCTATGGAGAACTATATCTTTTAACTCCCTACTATAGGTTCCAGGTTGGGTTATTTTACATTTACTATATAGTACTCCAAAACAGCCCAACAACACAGGCCCTGACACATAACAGGAACTCAGTAAATGTCTGCTATATGGCTCAGGGCTCATCCATCTTTAAGCATGAGCTCAAAAAATTACAGGCACTACTATCTCATTTTATAGGTGAAGAAACTGTTGCCTGGAGAGTTACAGTGACTAGCTTGAGGTAAACACTAAATGGCAGTGCCAGGATAAAAACCTAGTTCCAATTCTATATGGCCAAGTCTTCAGCTACAGTTCAGAAAAATGGCTTTATAAATTGAGCTTCTCTATTCTACTGCATTTCTTCAAGAGCTACTGTGGTAGATGGGGAGGTGAATGATTGGGTATAGTTTCAGGTACTTACTCTCCTTCAACCATAGCAGCTGTGCTTTTCTGGCTTATTTGAATAAAAGATCCTGCAGCAGAAAAAGTTTGAAAGCCACTAGTGTTGTGAAAATAGCACTGACCTGGGGAGTTAGAGCTGTGATATTAGCCCACTGCTACTTGACCCAGGGCAAATTGCTTCCTTTCTGTGAAATCCACAGGTTCCTCAGCTTCAAATGAGAGAGCCAACTCAATTCTAATATTCTGTGACTCACAGAATATTGAGTTCAATCCCTAAGAAATTTCAGGACTGCTAAAAAGTTAGCAAAAAAATTATAACTCTCTCAAATTCTAAAGAGATAAAAACATAATATTCTCCTACATACTTCTGCAGATTACACATAAGCATGCAAGAACTCTCAGCTCACAGATTCTCAGTCACAGAGAAAGGTGGGAGTTGGAAAGCTACACTATGCTATAAACACCCTCAGGGTAGAAGATGTTTTATTCATTTCTACTTTCAACACTTAGCATAGGTCCTGTCATACAATGAAAACTCAATAAATGTTTGCTGCATGGTTCAGGGCTCATCTACCTTTAAGCATAAGCCCGAAAGATCACAAAGACTGTATATGCTCCATGCTCTGTGATTCTAGCCTCCTGAGAGTCTAGATTCACGTCTTGCTTTCCTGAACCAATAAACAGAAATGTGTCAGGAACCCCCACCTATCTTGCAGGACCCAAATGATCATACACTAGCAAAAAAAGCCAAAAAAGGAAACTAGTAAAATGTCATACAATTGAGTAGATCTCACCTGGACCACCTGCCATGGGAAATCCCGCCTCTATCCTAACTGAATTTCCAGCTCCCATGGGTCCATTCATTCTCACATCTTGGCTTCGGTTCTGAGCCAAAGCAAGGTTGATAGCACCTTCCCCTGAAAATGATAGGTTAAAAAAGGAAATCATCAGAATAAGATGCAAATTTTGTTTAAAAACAGATATGCGAGAGCTTTAGTTTGTTTGTTTGTTTGTTTGTTTTTTGCAGTACGCAGGCCTCTCACTGCTGTGGCCTCTCCCGTTGCGGAGCAACAGGCTCCGGACGCGCAGGCTCAGCGGCCATGGCTCACAGGCCCAGCCGCTCCGCGGCATGTGGGATCTTTCTGGACTGGGGCACGAACCCGCGTCCCCTGCATCGGCAGGCGGACTCTCAACCACTGCGCCACCAGGGAAGCCCAGTTTTATGTGTTTTTGAAGAATTACGGTAAGTTTACCACCACAAAAAGGGTGAGTTCAATACTATACAGGTCTTTCTTCAACCTCACCTGAGCAGGTTCACTTACATGCAACACAGGGAGAACATAACCAATTCTCACAATACAGCAGATGGACAATCGTTAATGATGTATGGCATCAGCAGAGAGCTTGGAACTCTGAATATTTATTTTCAACCAACTCACCTTGAATGCGTGTGTGTAGGAAGAAAATATTCTCAGAAAGTCTCAAAATCCTAGATTACGTTTTGAGAATTTATGATCAGAAATTAGAAATACGAGTAGGTTTAATGGAGAAAGAACATATCATGGCATGGGGACACTGTGATATTTGTAAGCAAAATACCATTTCCCTTTCAATGACTGCAGTATAAATAGATATGCAGCAGAGAAATTCATGCAATGAAGAATAGACAGGTTGCTACTAATCTACCTCTGAGACATCTTACGATAGAGACCAACATTTTGTATAGGGTTTTTAATGCTTACAAAATTGTATTTCATTTGAACCTCACAATAGCCTTGTAGGTAATGTCACTAGAAGTGTTCCAATTGAGTAGACTCTAAAGTTAGAGGCAATTTAAATCTCACTTGATAAAAAGGTCTCTGAAACAAGTTTTGGGATGCCTCCTTGTGCTTAATCCCAAACTTTGACTACTGTTACTCTGGAAGACAGCACCACCTTGTGGGAAGATAAAAGTATAGCTAGCCTGTGGCTGAAAATTTGAAAGGGTGCGTTCACCTTGTTCCTTAACTTAACGTTTTACAGAGCAAGATGATAAAGAAGGAAGCCAATGAGGGCACAGCAGTTTCCTCTGTCTTGTCACTGATCTAGGTCAGCTAGATAAATAGATAAAATATTAAGTATTTTAACCCGGCAGGTAGCTTGGTAATAGGGAACAAATATACTACCAATAAGTGACCAATCACCAGGGGCTACAAGATGTTCTAAGTTGCCTATGGGAGTAAGGAAGAAAAGAGAAAAGATAATACAGATCTTGAGGGTTTCCACTAAAGGGAAAGAACTATTAATACACTAAACTTGCTAAGACATTCTAGGTGGAAAGAGTATTGTTCTTGAAATGGACATCAGATCATGTAAATGGCTTGTGGCTGCTATTGACAGCCCAGACGTGGTCCTTGCCTTATCTCTCTAACCTCAACTCACACTACTTTCTCCTTCAATAACAAGGATTCAGCCTCAGTGGCATTTTTTTTACTTTCTTAGGCACACAAACGCACTTCTCACCTCAAGGCCTTTGCACATGTTGTTCTCTCTGCCTAGAACAGTTCTTCCGCACTCTTCACATAAACCAACTTCTCAATTTTCAGTGTAATCTTAAGTGTCACATGCCCCAAAAGGCCTTCTCCAACCTTCTTATCTAAGGTGAGGTCACCCTTATCAGAACATCTTGTTACTTCTTCAGAGCACATCCCATGTATCAACAGTTACTTATTCGTTCACTTATAGTCATTAAGTTAATTAATAGTTATTAACAGTAACCCCCTTTACTCTCAATTTCCTAATTTAGATGATAAATTATATGGCCACCTTATTAATTATATCCTTTAAACACTGAACAGTGCCTGGTACACAGTAGGCACTCATTAGCTATTTACTGGCTATATGATGAACAGTCATCTTATTTTAACCTTACAAAGAATCATAGGCATTTTTCTATATGATAAATGCATTCCTTGAAAACCTCGTAGTCTATAAAAATCTCACACTGAAAATAATAGGTTTTATGGGAAAAACAGTGTTGAGGCAAACTCAAAACCCATGCGGCTTTGTAACCAGAGCGCTAATAAAAGCAAAAATTGGTGTAGGCAACATACCCCAAAACAGTAGAATGAAAATGACTGGTTAAGGGTGGGAAATAATGTAGATGCAGTGGAGCTTTAAGCCAGTGGAGCCACCATTAAGGTGGGCACAGGAGAAACTGAAACTTCACAAGCTGAGAGCCATGCAATGCTGAGGGTATACTTCTGGGGAAGGTACCTGAGTGTAATTTCTCATTCTTAATTTTCCTGAAATAAAGCTGAAAGGACTCCCACCTATGTAGCAACAGATCTAAAGGCATTTTGGCTTTTCTTGTGGACAATTAACCATTCTATTGCTACTAATCTAACTTCCCTTGCCCAGGGGGGAAAAAAAATCACATATGAATGAAACACAATTTCCACACTATACTACTGTTATTCTCCTATTTGCCACCTGCACGTAAGCTAATTGTTGTCAAGGAAACACATAACGAAACACACGTAGAGAACACTACTGGCTCTCCAACTTGCTGATGGGGGTTGGCAAACTATGGCTTGTGGGCCAAATCTAGCCTGCTGCCTGTTTATTTAAATAAGTGTTATTGGAACACAGCACATTCATTTATTTACATATTGCCTATGGCTGTTTTTGCACTACTACTGTAGAGCTGTCTTGACAGAGATCTTCTGGCCCACAGAGCCAAAAAAATTTATTCTCTGGCCCTTGAAACAGACTCCTGCTTTAAATCAGAATGAATTTACAGAGGAGTCACAAAATGTCCTCAAAAAAGACATCTCCCCAACTCCCTGGCCAAAACTCAAAAGAAGGGTACGGGGAGTATTCTTCAAAGGAGAACAGTCTGTTGGGAGGAACAACCTGTCCCTCCAGCCCTGCAGCAGACACCACGACAGTGGCAATACCTTCTCTTACAACTTAAAAGGCAATCAGGGAGTGTGGAAAGAGAAAAGGAGATCACCTGGGACACATATGTGTACCCTGAAAGTTAAAGAACTCTTTTCTGTAATCACTGCCATATGTAAATTTCATAATTTCTTGTAATATATGTTATCTATTTGGCTTCCTTGCTGGTACTTGTATTTTAATTTATGGCTGTAACGATAAAGGGGAATCAGCATATTACCCTTTTAAGAATCTGTAGGAAGTAGGTATGATTAAGAGAAGAAACTGGTGTTTCCTTTCTCCAGAGGAAAACACTAACACAAAGCCCTTTTAATTCAGGTAAATAGGTAAGAGAGACTATAAAATGTTTGGGGTTTTTAAGAAACTGCTTATATGTTTCTTATAAAAAATACATGTGCTTATGTGCTTATAAAGCATAAACAACCTATATAGTGTTATTACCAATAGTTATTTGACTTCTACTCTTCCCGAAAGTTCACCCTAGGGCTTCCCTGGTGGCGCAGCGGTCGGGAGTCCGCCTGCTGATGCAGGGGACGCGGGTTCGTGCCCCGGTCCGGGAAGATCCCACATGCCACGGAGCGGCTGGCCCCGTAAGCCATGGCCGCTGAGCCTGCGTGTCCAGAGCCTGTGCTCCGTAACGGGAGAGGCCACAACAGTGAGAGGCCCGCGTACCGCAAAAAAAAAAAAAAAGTTCATCCTACATCCAATACATTGCTGTGAATTAATTTTACTTTTCTGAATCCTTTTAGACAATCCAACATTTTTCGAAACAAACTGGTTATTGTTTAAGCCACTGTTTCCTTGTTTATCAAATTATGGAATTTACCCCATTTCTCAATCTATATATCTCTGAATAATCTCTCTAAATAATGTTTGTTGATATCGCCCCTTCTGGGGCACAGCAACCTACAATCTTAACTGCATAAAATGTGTCTCACTCCTACACACAGTATGTTGACCTTTCGGTTACTGAGGTTCAATGGAGCATTTAGGTCCTATGCAAGCACAGGGTCAGGAGGGCTTGGCCCACCAGGGCAAGAGAAGGCTGGAATGACTCACTGGTTGCCACCTTGCTTACATCAACACAGGAGGGGAAAAGAAGGTTTTAGTTCATTGGGCACCAAAAGATAGAATCTCCTTTGTGCTTTCCCATACTTGTTACTTAGATCTCTCAGGTTTGTCTCCCTCATCAAGGTCATGAGCTCCTTTTGAGTTTATAATGACAAAGACCACATTTTATTTATCATTTATTCTGAGAGCTGAAGCAAAGTGTTACTATTATATATGTGCTTCCCTTGCTTTCATTCAACATATGTTTATTAAAGAACTTGACCTATACAGGCAAGCAAAAATTCAACAATGAGTGAAACAAGATATGGTCCCTGCCCCTACTGGAGCTTGCAGTCCATGGGGGAAAAAAACAATCATCAAATAACTGCTTTAATCAAAGTGTGAGAAAATGATCTGAGGGAGAAAAAACCCAGACTTTTTAAGAGTACATGAAAAAAGACTCTGACTTAGTCAAGGAGTTCAGAAAACACCTCCTCAAGATTTAAGCTGGAAAAAAAAAAGATTTAAGCTGATACTTGAAGGCTGAGTAGGTATAACTAAGGGAAAGGGGAATGGTAGGGAACAATATCCATATAGAGAAGACATCAATGCAAAGGACTCCTGGCAGGAAGATGAAATGCATATTCAAGGAACCTAAAAGAAAGCTGAGGAGGCTAGAATAGATAGCAAGGAAGAAGGAGGAGAGTTGTAAAAGATAAGGCTAGATGAGAAAGCTACAGGTCAGACCATGCAAAGCCTGAGGTCATGATAAGGAGTTGGGTCATTATTCTGTGAATAAAGCAAGCCACAGCAGGGTTTTAAGCTGTGTGTGTGTGTGTGTGTGTGTGTGTGTGTTTATTTTTTTATTTTTTTATGGTACACGGGCCTCTCACTGTTGCGGCCTCTCCTGTTGCGGAGCACAGGCTCCAGATGTGCAGGCTCAGCGGCCATGGCTCATGGGCCCAGCTGCTCCGCAGCATGTGGGATCTTCCCAGACCGGGGCACGAACCCATGTCCCCTGCATTGGCAGGCAGACTCTCAACCACTGCGCCACCAGGGAAGCCCCATATTTTCATTTTTAAAAGATCATTCTGTCAAAAACATCTGAAAAATGAATACTGCTACAAAAGGATTGTTCAGGGCCTCCTAGTCTCTGTTAGATAAATAAATACTAAATAAGGCTTATCGGGTGGAAGGAAACAACTGAAATTAGATATTCTTTAAAAGACAAATCAGTCCTTGGTTAGGGTACCAGTAAAATCAAAGTCTGACAGAATGACAGCCAACATCAGCCAAGGAAATGGAGTCTGAGGCTGTGGATGCTGAAGCGTCAGGACCCAACCAGAGCCTCAATTCCTCTTTATCCTAAGGTGCTGCAATGTAAAGCACAGGTGACATGAGTTATTTGGCATTCTGAATTCAACTTGAGAGGAACAGACAAAGCAGCACGTGCTATATTCTACTGTTCCTATAATCTGGGTCCAGACATGCACCTTCAATCTGAACGGAGAGAATTCCCAGATCCCGAAGCTGCTGGTTGTTGCTCTGAGCCAGGATCCGTAGCCGCTCCGCTGCTTCCCGGGGGATGTTGAATGTCACACGCACGCTGTTCCAGGGCTCTACCTTCTGTACCTTTAGCTTGCTGGATTCTTGGTCATGAAAGAAAGAGAATAATATTAGTACTCTTTTAGCCATCAGAAGACATGCAATGAACAACAACAACAAAGTAAAAGAACAAGGTAGAATACCAGTATGGAGTAGCTGAGAGAGTTTAAGCTTTGGTATTAGATAGCCTTTATTATTATTTTGTTTTTTAATAAATTTATCTGTTTATTTATTTATCTATTTATTAATTTTTGGCTGCTTTGGGTCTTCGTTGCTGTGTGTGGGCTCTCTCTAGTTGCAGTGAGTGGGGGCTACTCTTCGTTGTGGAGCACAGGCTCTAGGCACACGGGCTTCAGTAGTTGTGGCTCGCAGGCTCTAGAGTGCAAGCTCAGTAGTTGTGGCGCACGGGCTTAGTTGCTCCGCGTCACGTGGGATCTTCCTGGAAGCCTTCCTGGAAGGCTTGAACCTGTGTCCCCTGCATTGGCAGGCAGATTCTTAACCACTGCATCACCAGGGAAGCCCAGACTTTAAATTTAATCCCAGCTGTACCACTTAGCACCTGGGTGACCATGAACAAGTTATTTCACATTTCTGAAACTTACCTTTCTCATCTCTAAAACCATGAAAAAACTACTTCATGAGATTGTGTTAAATGAGATAATAACATGCCAAAAATCAAATGCAACAACTGAAATTTTAATACTCATATTTAAATTTTCACTGGGCCTCTCTGTGAAAGATATTCATAGAGGGAGGGAGCAAACATTTCTTCCAATATCCTATAAATGCTTCAATTTAAGGAAGGCTTAAATCTTGATTCTTTATGTGTCTCATTTTTAATCTTTTTCTACTTTAAACAATTTCCACTGAAGCATACCAAACTGAGGAGAAAAGCAACATAAATTTGACAACTACATTTCACTTAGGATATGAAAACATTACATTTCAGCAAATCTGAAAAGTCAATGCAAACTTTAGAACATGTTTTAAAATTAAGATGCAAAAGTTAAACTAACTGAGGAGGTAATGTTGTCTGTAATTATATTTCACAGATGGAAAGCAAATCCCAGGTCCAGTTAGATAATAAAAACACATTTTTTCCCCAACAATCCCAGACAAAATAATTTTCTCTTTTGCTATAAACTCAGCTACATTAAATCTCTCATATCCTCCATTCAATTACACATTCCAGTATTGAGAAAATGGTCATACAGGAATATCTATTCTCAAAATAAGAAATATATATGGATACAGGAAAGTGCCTACATGTTGCCTAAAGCCACTGCCACCTCCAAAACCATTATATGTTATACATTTATCCAGACAGGGAGTCCATTTGTTCTTATGTGGAAAAAAGAGACCATTTGCTAACAGCAGAAGGTTAATACAATCACAGAGATTCTAGGAAGGATTATGCAATATTTAGTTCAAGTCTATTTTATAGGTGAGGAAACTGAAGCCCAGAAAGTCTAAGAGATTTGCCCAGAATCCAGTGGCTACCTAGCAGCATCATGGCATAAGAATCCAGCTCTGCTTTTCAGGTCATTTTTCTTTCCATGATATTTATGCATCCAAACAGCAAAAGGTAGGGAGCTTGAGATCCTGGTACCACAGAGTATAGATGCTTCAGGGCTTCTTCCCAATCTGAACAGTACTGCAATCTTATACTTATGCGGTCTAGACAAACGTTAAATTTGCTTATGACATTATCTACTTGTGATAAGCCTGCAGAAAAATCTTTAACTGTAACAGTTATATTTTATCAAATTTTTAAACTTTCATCATATTTGAGAACATCTGACTTAAAATACTTTTTGGATCAAGACTATAACTGATAACCGTAAGTCTGAGTTTGCTAATTTATTTAAAAGCCATTAATAAACTAATTCAGCAATTTAAAAACAAGAAAAAAATGTGGATAATTAAGAGCAATGAGCAGGACTTCCCTGGTGGTCCAGTGGTTAAGAATCCGCCTTCCAATGCAGGGGACGCAGGTTTGATCACTAAGATCCCAAATGCCGTGGGGCAACTAAGCCCGCGCACTGCAACTACTGAGCCTGTGCGATCTGGAGTCTGCGCCCCACAACTAGACAGCCTGAGTGCTGCAACTACTGAGCCTGCGAGCTCTAGAGCCTGAGCACCAAAACTAGAGAGAAGCCCATGTGCTGCAACGAAGAGTCCGTGTGCCACAACGAAAGATTACACATGCCGCAACGAAGATCCCACGTGCCACAACTAAGACCCAACACAGCCAAATAAATAAATAAATATATTTTTAAAAAAGAGCAATGAGCAATGAACAATTTCAGGTGCAGCTAGCCCTTAAGATATGATATATTATGACATGATTATGGTGATAATTACAACTTTCACCATAAAGTCTCTACTACTATGTTAAATAATCCAGAACTATAGAGAAGTCTTATATAACATAGTAAAAAAAAGACCCTTGAATAAAAAGACAGCTCTCCTCCTGACATCAATTCTAATGAATAAGACCCCAAAACCTAAAAAAGTTGGTTAGCACTTAATCAAGTCAAGATCTGTGATAAAAGGATAAAATCTAGGCTTTGTACTATGTCTGAAGGGATTAAATAATTGTGCTACCCAGAAAATATGGAGAACATCTAAACCAAAGTTGACAAGCACAACTTCCCACAAGACCACTACAGGTTATCTAAATGTGTGAAGAGGACAGATGGGACTGTCGTGAGGGGAGGGCCTGCCTTCAGTGGCAGCTGCTACTCAGCAACACCTGGGATAGGAGAGCTCAATGTTATCTGACCTTTCCTGTTTAAAGACAAATCTAAAATATGAATTTATTTATTTATTTTTTTTGGCAGTACGCGGGCCTCTCACTGCTGTGGCCTCTCCTGTTGCGGAGCACAGGCTCTGGACGTGCAGGCCCAGCAGCCACGGCCCAAGGGCCCAGCTGCTCCGCGGCACGCGGGATCCTCCCGGAACGGGGCATGAACCCGCATCCCCTGCATCGGCAGGCGGACTCCCAACCACTGCGCCACCAGGGAAGCCCCTAAAATCTGAATTTTAATGTAAAATATCTCATTTTTTAAAGCAGTGGCAATGAAATTCAAACATTAAAAAAAAAAACAAAACCCCAAAACTAAAGTGGGCCATAACTAACACATGGCTGCACATGGATACAGCAGGCTATCGGTTAACCTCTGACCTAAAATTTAAAAGAACAAATTTCAAGTTCATTTTAAGTAGAACCATGGAGTAAAAGATTTTTGTAAGTTTTAAGTTACCTCAAAGATCCAGTCTTACTTCTTCATTTTATAGGTAAGGAAACTAAAGACCAGAGAGCTAAAATTAGATAGAATTACTCCTATCCATTAGAACAGATAATTTAAGGATTACTATGCTAAGTAATGGTTTATTATGTTCAGTTACTCCATGTACTTAAAAAAATACAACAGCATTTCTATTAAAAAAAAATCCTAAAATTCCAACTCTGCAATTAAAATCAGCCTTTCAACCTAGTACAACCACAGTTGTACTTTGTAAAACTCGAGATAACCATAGAATGACAATTCAAAAAGAGTAACAAGAAGGAAAAATAAAGCAAATTACCCATGTGTAACAAATTGGGCACGTTCTCCAATATTGTGTCCAATTTCCATTTGAAATCTTTATCATCTATATTTCCTTTGAAGGCCACAAAGATTGTGGAATCCTCCAAAATACTATCACTTTTTGAGTCATCATCTTCTAGTCCAGAGTCAAAATCCATCTCTGAGTCCTCCACTGTAGATGAACACAAGGAAGTATAGATGTCTTCCAAGTTGGGAAGGTCATCCAAAACCATGGTGAATATTATTCCAGAAGCATATGCCAAGTGGACAATAAAAAAACCTTTGAAAACAGAAGATACAAAAAGCATTACAATGCATAATTATACAGTCAACAATGTATAATTATAGTTCTATGAAAACTATAATTTATTTGCCAAGTAATAAGGAAGTACTATAAAAATTAAGAAATTACAGAGAGGATAAGCTAGTTTAATTAAGATATTCTATAATAGTTCTTAAAGATACTAGAAATAAAAATATACCAGTTTTAAATAAAATTCCTTTTATTTTATCAGCCTAGAATATGGGCAGAAGGGAACGAAAGATCACAAGAAAATAAAATAGGTATTTTCTGAGAATTAATTCATATAAGCCTTTGGTTGACCCCCACAGAGCAAGACTGGGGTTGATGCCAAGACTCCCCTTACTCCTGTCCTAACAAAAGCTTCAGAGCAGCCAAGGTTTCTAAAGCCCTCTGCTTTAACCTGCAAAGGACAACTTGACCTAACTAAGAGCATCTGCAGGACTACCTAAAATCCTAAAGTCTTTCACGAGGACCATTTAAAACAACTTTTAAAGGGTTATTAATAGTCGCATAGCTGAAAATAATGATTCAGAAACAAAACAAAGACAAAAAATTTAAAAATAATTTTGCAAAAGGAAAATAAGTGGTTAACACATATTTACAGAGGCAAAGAACTATGTCTAGGACAGAACTAAATTACATTTTAACTTTTACGTCTAGGGAAGTCACATTTTCTGCTATTTTCAGTTATGCTGCCTACCAAAGAGTATAAATATTAAAGACCACACCATGTGGCCATTTCCTCCATTATCTTTGGGATTGATGATCACATTCTTAACCCAAAAGTGAATGAATGAACATTAATTTTCAGCATTTCTGTTAAGCAAGAATGGTATAGAAACATAAGAACCTCACACATATCTTCTAATTAAAAAAAATTCCCTATATATAGAGCATAATTACAGCTATTTTTTTAAAAAGATGGATAAGAAAAAAAGGACTGAAAATAAACCCACTAAAACGCAAATAGTGATTGTGCTAGGTTGGTAAGATTGTTGGTAAATTTTCTTTTCCTGTTTTCCAAAAACGCTATGAGTCATTAGGAAAATGCAAAGCTAAATATACTGTAATATGGTTATACTACTTGCATAAATAGAAAAAAGTATTAACTTTTTAAAACTGTTTAACTTTTCTTTTTAAAATAATCACTAAACTTCAAGAGCAAAGGCTTTTCAAAAACCAAACCTAAGCAATTTTAAGGGGGAAAATTCCTCTGTTGTAAATAAATATGGAAAAAAACTTACATTTGAGCAGAGTGTCTTATTGTCTGGCAATTATAACCTTTTCTAGTACCATCGGTGTTACAAAGGAACAGTGTAATTTGGATGGTTAAGAAAAAACAGCATGCAAGAGGGAAGAGATATGGGAACATATGTATATGTATAACTGATTCACTTTGTTATAAAGCAGAAACTAACACACCATTGTAAAGCAATTATACTCCAATAAAGATGTAAAAAAAAAAAAAAGAAAAAACAGCATTCAGGACTTCCCTGGTGGCACAGTGGTTAAGAACCCGCCTGCCAATGCAGGGGACACGGGTTCGAGCCCTGGTCCGGGAAGATCCCACATGCCGCGGAGCAACTAAGCCTGTGTGCCACAACTACTGAAGCCCACGCGCCTAGAGCCCATGCTGTGCAACAAGAGAAGCAACCACAACGAGAAGCCCCCGCACTGCAACAAAGGGTAGCTCCTGCTCGCTGCAACTAGAGAAAGCCCGCGCGCAGCAACAAAGACCCAAAACAGCCAAAATTAATTAATTTAAAAAATATACAATTCAATTTAAAAAAAAGGAAAGTAACTTTAAAACAATAAAGAAAAAACAGCTTTTAGAAAATCCTTTATAAATACCATTGCCATTAGTCAACTGCCATCTACATTTTACAGATATTAAAGAACTTTAGAGGTAAATAAAACTAAAAAAGATTTTTAGGGCTTCAAAGCTGCTGCTTGGAAATTCCCTGGCGGTCCAGTGGTTAGTGCTCCGCGCTTCCACTGCAGGGGGCACAGGTTCAATCCCTGGTCGGGGAACTAAGATCCCGCATGCTGCGTGGTGAGGCCAAAAACAAAAACAAAAAAACCCTGCTGCCCAGCAGAAAGAAGTCTGATTGCTGAAAATGCCTGAAAAACTGTAGCTATTTAACAGCTGTTCCAAAGTTGAAACAACTGCAAGACAGGAATTTAAAATTTAAGACACGTTTTCCAAAAGAATCTTTAACCGGAAAGGAGAAAACCAACTAAAAAACCTGCACTTTGATAGTCTTCTGAAGAGGTTGTCGGTCATGCCACGAAGGCTGTGTATTCAGATTTGGAAAACCCTCAACTGGTAGACAAGAACTCAGCTAATTTAAAATTAGGAATTACCAGTTTAACAGTACTACGGGCATTATACAGGTGCTTAAAAAAAAAAACAAGAAATAGAAAGTCAGTCTATGAAAAAAATTACTGGCCTTCCCTACAAAAAAAATTTTTTACAGAAACTTCTTCCGGGCTTCCCTGGTGGCGCAATGGTTAAGAATCCACCTGCCAATGCAGGGGACATGGGTTCGAGCCCTGGTCCGGGAAGATCCCACATGCCGTGGAGCAACTAAGCCCGTGCGGAGCAACTAAGCCCGTGTGAAGCAACTAAGCCTGTGCGCCACAACTACCAAGTTTGTGCTCTAGAGCCCGCAAGCCACAACTACTGAAGCCCACGCACCCTAGAGCCCGTTCTCTGCAACAAGAGAAGCCACTGCAATGAGAAGCCCATGCACTGCAATGAAGAGTAGCCCCTGCTCACCGCAACTACAGAAAGCCCGCACGCAGCAACGAAGACCCAACGCAGCCAAAAATAAATAAACAAATTTATAAAAATTAAAAGAAAATGAAACTTCTTCCAGATAACATATTCTTTGAGATTAATGCCCACTTAAAATCTAAGGATTTATTATCAAAATAATGGAGTAATCTTTGAGTGAAAATGTAGTTCAGTGAAAATTCTCTCCAAGAATATAGCTGACTAGCTCAAGAGACTCATTTGCTTATTTATGGTCATCTATCATAAGCATGCGCTATTTCTTTGTGTTTGCTAAAATTAACCACCAGTTATCTTGCTCACCCACATAATTTTCAGATTACCTACTGATTTAACTTCTTATTGGGGCTATTTTGATCTTTTATAAAGAATCTAAAAACAAATATGATATTCAGGAGAAATTTTAAAAGCAAGCACATTATTTATTCTACTTGTCCAAGGTAGAATGAAAAAGATTTCCAAATGAAATCATTTCAGGAGCCAAAGAGCTCCCGTTGATAAAGGAAAGCTTTTTTTATGGAAGAATGCCAACTTAAATATAAAAAGGTGGTATCATTAGAAAACCCACAGTTTTGCAATCCCTAATAAAATAATTCAGGCAAGGATCATCAGTAAGGAAAAAACACTATGTGAAAATGTGACAGAGTTCTGGATAGTTACACGATGTCAAAGTATCATCCCAGATATCTGCTGCTTGGCAAAGGGAAAACTGTAACTTCACAACGGGAAGACTTGACTTCTACCCATTGAATGCAATGATCCACCTCAGCATCATTAACAGAGAAACAACCAGAAATTATGTACAATATTAAGTACACAGCATTACCTATGAAATATTCCTGTCAAAATGTTTAACCTGAATCTAACAAGTTTTTAACAGGAGACAGAGGAACAAGTTAAAGAACACCATGAGGAAATAATCAGACAAATCTAGAGTGTAGGATTTCTACAGCACAATTGGCTTGGCCTCTTCAATAAGTCAGTGGTCACAGGGGAAAAAAAGGGTGGGTAAAACTGTTCTACATTAAAAGAGACTTAAGGGCTTCCCTGGTGGCGCAGTGCTTGAGAGTCCGCCTGCCGATGCAGGAGACGCGGGTTCGTGCCCCGTTTCGGGAGGATCCCACATGCCGCGGAGCGGCTGGGCCCGTGAGCCATGGCCGCTGAGCCTGCGCGTCCGGAGCCTGTGCTCCGCAAATGGGAGAGGCCACAACAGTGAGAGGCCCGCATAACGCAAGGAAAAAAAAAAAAAAAAAAAAGAGACTTAAGAGCTTTAAAAATCAAGTGCAATGGGGACTTCTCTGGTAGTTCAGTGGTCAAAGAATCCACCTTCCAATGCAGGGGATGTGGGTTCAATCCCTGGTCAGGGAACTAAGATTCCACATGCTGCAGGGCAACTAAGTCTGTGCACTCTAGAGCCTGCACACCATAGCTAGAGAGCACGTGTGTGCTGCAACAACTGAGCCCACGTGCTCTGGAGCCCACGTGCCACAACTAGAGAGAAGCCCATGCCACAACGAAGAGCCCGCCTGCCGCAACTAAGACCCAATGCAGCCAAATAAATAAATATTTTTAAAAAATATCAAATGCAATGTACAGTACTTTATTGGATATTGGTTTGAAAAAAAACAGATGCAAAGCACATTTTTAGGATAATTAGGGGATTATTACTAATTTTGTTAGGTGTGATAATAATGGTGCTGTGGTTATTGTGGACAGTGTTCTTTTTTTTTTTTTTTTTGTGGTACACTGGCCTCTCACTGTTGTGGCCTCTCCCGTTGCAGAGCACAGGATCCGGACGCGCAGGCTCAGCAGCCATGGCTCACGGGCCCAGCCGCTCTGCAGCATGTGGGATCTTCCCGGACCGGGGCACGAACCTGTGTCCCCTGCATTGGCAGGCGGACTCTCAACCACTGCGCCACCAGGGAAGCCCACAATGTTCTTATTGTCTCTTAAGACATGCATACTGAAGCATTTATTTATTTTTTTGGCCACGCCACGTGGCACAAGGGATCTCAGTTCCCTGATCAGGGATCAAACCCATGCCCCCTGCAATGGAAGCACAGAGTCTTAACGAATGGATTGCCAGGGAAGTCCCAAGAGATGCATACGGAAGCATTTTGAGGTAAAATGTCATGATGTCTGCAATTTACTCTTGAAAAAAATGAGGA